ACTAACATATATATATACACGTGGCTAACAACCTAATATGGGTCCATGAGTTAGATCTTACTCATCAACTTATACCAAGTATATATAATATTTTGCTAGAATAAGTACGTGCTTCACAAATTAAAGGAAAGAGAATTAATTTGAGAGAGAACGAAAAAAAAAAATGCATCGAGTAACATTTGTTCCAGCAAATGACAAAATGGAGTACTTCAAATTGATGAGTAATCATACTATTCCTTCAGTTGGTTTGGGGACATGGAAATCTGGCTCTCAAGCTCGTTACTCCGTTGAAAGTGCCATCGTCGAGGTATGGTATTCTTGTTTTTAAATAAATTAACTATTTTTTGGACCCGAGCAACGTGTTGAGTTATTGTACAAATGTCGCGTTACAATATTTTTATACTTTCGTATTTTATAAGTTTGTGGGGAAAATTTCATGTCTATACCCACTGTAAATTTGTAAATCGTAAATTCATACTTCCTCTGTTCTAGTAATATTACAATAACTGGACTTTTGTACTGTTCTTCATGCTTGTTTGACCATAAATTATGATTTATACGTAAAGTAAAATATAGTCATGTAGGGGTCTTATTAGATTCGTCTCGTAAAATACTTTCACAATATCAACTTTTTATAATTTTTACTCTTATATAATTATAAATATTTAACATATAAACTGTGTTTTGAGATACGTAATTTCATCCTTCTTGCAATATTTGTGGAACAGAAGAAGTATATTATAATGGTAGTCCTTCCTCAAATAACTCATTATATTCACAAATATAATATTCATTATCATTTTAAAGGTGGTATTAGTGAAGTAATGGGAATTTATGAGCAAATTCACATGTTTGGAGGTAATAAAGATTAGATGATATACATGGTAATGAAAACATTAGAAATCCTAATAAAATTAAACAAACATCCATTACCCCACGATTTACTATATGAAAATTCTATAGTAGTCATCTTTAAAATGGTTACCATTACACTAAATTTTTTTATTGACTGATTTTTTTAATTTATTTTCTATGTCAAAATTAATTATAAATATTTTTTTCTTATTTTTAAAATTTATTTTTATTTTTTTATATTTTTATAATTAATTTATGAATTATTTTTTAATTTTGATAATAATAAAAACTAAATTTTGTAAATTAATTATGAAAATTATTTTTAAAATAAAAAATTATTTCTAAATTAATAAATGAATTTTTAAAATTAGGAAAATGATTTATAATTAATTTTGACATTAAAATAAATCAAAATCAGTCAATAGAAAATTAATATAATGATAGTATTTTGGGATTCTTAGTCGGTTAACGCGTTTTTTTTTGTGTGAGAATAAGTCCTGACCGACCGAGTAACCATAATAGAATGATAATTTTAGATTTTGTAGTCGTGTAAAAGTTGTGATTATGGATTGGGCCAATTCATGAGTCGGGCTTTGGCTTAAAATCAGGCCCATTTTCACTCTAACAATGCAATAATGGTTTGATTTGGGTGCAGGCTGGTTACAGGCATATTGACACAGCTTGGGCATATGATGTAGAGAAGGAGGTAACTTAACTCTTTCTGACTTTCAATATGATATTTTTTTTTTTTTCTTTTCTTTTCTTTATAAATAAAGCATACGATTTTATATTATTTGATATTAATTTCATATAAAAATAGCTTAAAGTCCTTTTAATACTACACAAATTTGATTTGTAACATTTGTTATCAGGTTGGTGATGGCATTAAGGCTGCAATTCATGCTGGAGTTGAAAGGACGGACCTTTTTGTCACCTCTAAACTATGGTTTATTTCTACACCTCTTTATATAAACGTTACAATTTTAATCTCATTTAGTCTATCTTTAACCCCCCAAAAAAATAGTCGCATAAACTAACTCGTTTACTTTTTTGTTGAGTTTGTAGGTGCACTGATTTGACTCCAGAGAGGGTTAGACCAGCATTCGAAAACACTCTTAAAAAACTTCAACTTGATTATCTTGATCTTTACCTTGTAAATTATCTTACCTTCTTAATCACGTTTTATTTCTTTTTTTTATTTTTTTATTTTTTTAATTTATTGTGCAATAAATCTCTGTTACTCACTGTGAGAAACGTTTGTTTCTCACAGTGGCAGTTTCGTAAATAAAATGTACCACCGACTAAAGTGGTACATTTTATTTACGAAACTGCCACTGTGAGAAACAAAAACGTTTCTCACAGTGAGTAATGGGGGCGCCCTCTTTATTATGTACATTGGTCTTTTATCTATATTAGTATGATCCAATGAACACTTGTCCTAGGCTATATTAATTGTTCATTTCGTAGATCCATTGGCCGTTTCGCTTAAAGGAAGGCGCAAGCATGCCACCAAAAGCAGGAGACGTGCTAGAGTTTGACATGAAAGGAGTTTGGAGGGAAATGGAGAGACTTGCCGCCGATGGTCTTGTTAGAGACATTGGCATTTCCAACTTCAGTGTCGCAAAGCTTACCAAGCTATTGAGTTTTGCTCTTGTTAAGCCTTCAGTTTGTCAGGTAAACATACAAATTGCCTGATATATAGGGAGTTACTTCGTCACATTGGTAAACCGGACTTGCTTAGCTTAGAAAGCTAGCTTACTAAGCTAATGCCAATTCACTTAGAAGATAGAGAATGGAGAAGGCTTTTTTCGTTGATTGCACGAGCTAGCCTGCAAGTCTTCCGCTGACTAATCTCCCATCGGTAGAAAGCCCAACCGGTAACCAAAAGAAGCAAGCCGGCTTCGGTATAATTGGTATAAAATTTAGATCAACAACAATTTGGTTTTAAAAGAGTGATGACAATATTGATCAATACACCTATATGTTAACCTACTCAAGTGTATTAAATTTTGCTTTATCATTGCTATATGACTAATGATCTTCATGAATTGCCATTGCAGATGGAGATGCACCCGGGATGGAGGAACGAGAAGATGCTCAATGCTTGTAAGGAACATGGCATTCACGCCACTGTAAGATGTCACCCCCTTTACCTTAAATATAACATGAATTGTTCTCTTAATAAGTACTCATGTCCAAGGGAATGTTATATTTGGCATCACGGTACCATGTACAATAATAAAAAGTAGATATATAGATATAACGTGAATTCTTTCAATAGACAAATACAAGTAACATGAAAATTTTCCAACATAGTTGAGTTTGATCCTTGAATGTAGAACTAGTGACATGGAAAATTTTGCGAATTGAAGTCAATTTTTTTTAAAATTACATGAGTTCAATACTCTAGGTAACAATATATGATAACATTATGTACTTATGTACTAGTAGTAACACTACAAAATTCTCAACATTTAGTAGATTTGTTATGTGTTTAATCACCTTACTACAAATGGTATGTAAGAGGTTTACATTTCACATAAGATATTTGGGCACATCAATATAATCCACAAACATGCAATTATTCTAAAAATGGGTGGTGTTGCAATATTTTCGGGCAGGCATACTCACCGTTGGGTTCAGGAGGGAAGATAGATTTGTTGAATGATCCAGTGGTGGTGAAAGTAGCAAAGAAGCTAGAAAAGACTCCAGCTCAAATACTTGTAAGATGGGCATTGCAAAGAGGGACTAGTGTCATCCCTAAGTCGAGTAACCCGGATAGAATCAAGGAAAACATACAAGTTTTCGGGTGGGAAATTCCTGAAGAAGACTTTGATTCTCTTTCAATTTTCAAACAACAGGTAAACTTTAACTATACGAATTTGAATTGAGAATTTGTTTTCTTCGCCTTTTTGTTTAAGCTTGAGAACACTTATTTTGGGGGGTTAATTGTTGTAGAAACGAATTATGGATGGCGAAAATCTGTTTGTTAACGAGACGGATGGACCATTCAAGAGTGTGGAAGAGCTCTGGGACTATGAAGATATTCCTCCTCTAAAGATTGCTCCTTAAATTCTCTTCTCGGATCATTAGAAGGGAAAATTATCTAAATCGACGCCTTGTGTTCTTTTTATTTCTCTCCAATAAAATGTAACCTATATGGCACTGTGTCAAACAACATATACTGTATATAGTACTCGTACTTAATTAATTTTCTTTGTTATTTCGCCTGAGATCGTTCAATTTACTTGGCATAATAGCTACTCTGTATCAAGTAATGCATTAGCATTCACGTGAATCAATTCTTATTAAAAGAATTTGATGGTAAAATGTCGATCAAGTTCATCTTGTCCATGTGATATAGCATCTTGCACAACGGGCGAATTAGGAATGAAAGTGAGCCGATTTTGACTACCAAAGATAAAAGAGTTACACATGAAGCATATTCCTTACGTTCATTTCACGAACAATCCAAAAAATTTAATAAAAAAAATAAAATAAAATAAAATAAAAATCAGTTTTGTTGTTACAATGTAAATATGCTATAGTGTTAATACTTTAAAATTTACATCATTTAGTTGACAACAAATCCGTTGTAGTCTAGTTGGTTAGGATACTCGGCTCTCACCCGAGAGACCCGGGTTCAAGTCCCGGCAACGGAATACTATTTTTGTGACTTTTCCATATGAAGGGCGACATCTACAGTCTGCCTTGTTGTGAGTTATCTCTTGGTAAGCTGGCCGTTAGGTTGCGCACCATGGTTGTTGCCAACAGGATCCCCCATTCCGATAGGTTACTAGGCTGGCCGTGAGGTCCAAAGTTGTATAACGTATTCGCTCGATTAATTTATCAGTGCCGTTATTTGAGTCAAAAACTTGGGTTGTTTTAATGAGCGTTTGGAGTAATTATGCAGATGATTTAGTATTTAGGAACAGATATATGTATTCAATAGCCCGTCCATTAAACACCCAAGTGCACCTACCTCTATGTAAATCCCAAACATGATTATAATCCCTTAATTTGCGGTTAAGAATGCATTCATCTATAAGAGAATAACTTACATTGTTTTTTTGGTAAAATACAACTCCGAGTGGAGAACCTGATTTGCCATTGAAAACTTTGCTATTACCACAAGAACAACCAAGTGACAAGAAATCTTTAGTCTCCAACCCTCAATGTGGTTGGGAAAAGAAAACCGTCTCACTGTATCAAAATTCCATTATATAGACCAAGGATCGTTCTACTGTTGGTAAAATACAACTCCGAGTGGAGAACCTGATTTGCCATTGAAAACTGAACTATTACCACAAGAACAACCAAGTGACAAGAAATCTTTAGTCTCCAACCCTCAATGTGGTTGGGAAAAGAAAACCGTCTCACTGTATCAAAATTCTGGAAATATGTCCAAACATGAAAAACAAAGAGGGTATACTACAGTTTGGAGCTGAAAAGAAACGAAAATGAGACGACACATGAGTAGGTTCCTAATTCTAGGAACAAATGCACTACAGGAAACCTGGATAATTCGAAATACAAAAATTCAAAACAAAAAATAAAATAAAAAATAAAGCACATACTTTTAACCTGTGATGATTACAATAGGAATGAAAGATATCCTGACTAAAACCTGCCGCCTGAAACAACTGATATATTCTCACAATTTATATCGATTGTGCCTTGTGTATAACTTAAAAGAGTCAATTGGGCTTCTTGCTCTTTTTATTGTCTCAAACCTCGAAATGCCTCAAAACACCCCCAAAAGAATTATATATGTCCACATTTATCTTCAGGTAACTTAGACCTGAGGGCACTCGCAGGCATATTAAGGTTAACAACTTAAGAACCCAAGATATTCACTACTCCACACCCGTTGAACTTGTACAATGAGGACAAATCCTAAAAAATGTCCATCAAGATTGCACAGCCAATCTCTGAAGATGCTCAAAGAACACTTGAAGACTAACATCATCTGTGAAAATTACATCTGACACAGTGCCCATCTCGTTGACATTGTTGTATGTCGCTGATGGGTTCAGCTTTGCCAAAAGAAATCTAGCCTGTTGATCATTGTAGACAACAGTAGTACCAGTTAAATAATTGCATCACATCTATACTATATATTAAAAGGCGTTCCTTTCAAAGGAACGGTACCACGTGGCACTCTTCAATGTATATGCACAGTGCCACGTCACTATCTAAAGTATATGCGCCACGTAAGCTTGTCACTTCATTTAACAAAATAAATTATGCTTTGAGCGAGAATCGAACCCGTAACCTCCATAGTACAAAGGTCATACATTAACAACTCAACCAACTTTGATTAATGTTATAAATTTCACATAATTAACATCATATATTAAGTAAATTAGAGGTTATATAATTAATTTAATTTTCACAAGATTAGAAATTAAATACATATGAGGTAAAAAAAAAAAAACACCCGAAACAACGCCCGAACCACTAACTATACAAATAGTCGAACATAATTATCAATTTAAAGAAGTACAAACTAGCAACCCGGGGCATCGCCCGGGCCACACACTAGTTTACTATACTATATATAGACGATCTTACTATTGCTTATTGGTTAATACAAGTATGGTGATCATGGGACATTGGGGTCAACTGTATAATTATTTAATATATTCAAAGATAAGGGGATTTAGCCTTTGAAAGGAACAATAAAACTTAGAAAGAATAATGGTAATATCTTTCACCTAGATCAACATTTCTTAATACGATGTGTCGCTATAAGAACTGTCTATCTCATTTATTCCAATTTACAAACTCTAATCTATTTGGAAGAAATGGCAGCTACAGCGAAAGGGAAAACATAGTACAAAGCTTCTAGAGCTCCCAAACATCAAAGAAAACTATGGCTAAAGACAGAACCTTGTCAATCTGCCAGTCATCTAAATTAAGGTAATGACATAAATAGGCAACAGATGGAACACTAAGAATAGGATAGCCTTTTAGCCATGGATTGCAGGGTAGCTTTCCACATCTACTGATTATTATTACTTTACAGAATGAACAACCTTGCCTTCCAATATATACATACCACAGTTTGCATCCAAAATCCAGAAATTAGCAAACACTGGTACAAAAGATAGAAGATCAGAGAAATGTACTGACCTGAGAACCATGCTGATCGCAAACAACCAATCTGGGAACAGGGAAACGATCATGGATGATCATTTGAGAATCTTGAATTGGAGCTTCTAATAGTTCTTTGAAGGCCTGAAAAGTAAACGATAAAAGAGGTTGATAAACAACGGTCTGCAGAATGAGAGATCACTGGCACAAGATAAAAAGAAAGCACCAGAAAATATGTTCTAATTTCTGGAACAGAATGCTGGACAAATTTACTTTAAGGTAAGCTGTTACTTGGACAGTACTATCTCCACCCAATGAGGCAACGATATCAAGTTATTATAAGAAAACACAAGTAAAAGTTCTCATTAGCACTTAGTTAACTACACTGCCCCACCCTCTACCTTGGAAAAAAAAAAGGACTCGTTGCATGGGACCAATTGCATGAAAGACCCTCCATGCAAAGAGAAAACTTTGAGACCACACTAAAATCCATCCAAAAAATGGACATACCTGGTATTCAGGTTGATTCTGGTATCCCAGATTACGCCATTGAGCGACTGTCATGCCATGGAATATAACTACACTGAAATAGGAATCCAGCAAAAGTATGCGATCAGCTGCAATAGATGCCACATCTAACAATGCTGGAGACGGAGGCGAATGCATGGAATATGAAATAAGTGATGGCTGAATCATCACAGCTGCATTAGTAATGTTCTCACGGTTCAACAGCATGCGGAAATAGGCAGTTTCATCAGGACTATTGTTAAACACCTGTTGCAAGAAAACAAAATATAATTGAGATCTGTACAAAAATTAATATAAAAGACACAGAACCACAATTTAGTACCTGCACAAACTGTGATCGTCTTAAATTGAACAAAAACTGAGGGAACAAGGAAAAACAAGGGTTTAATGTAAATGATGATGGATCATCTTTCCGGTAGTCACCAAATTTGGAGCAAAGACGTATTAGATTCCGATCCAACCACCGTGTAGCATCAAATCCTTCCTGCAACAAGACAACTTACATCAAACCAAAGAGCTAAAAATAGAAGAGAAAACAATTAGAGTAACAGCAAATAAGATATTAACAGAAAGATAAGGAGGAGAGCACAGATAAGGGTTTTGGCATAGGTAACAATCACAGAAAGCATACAATACAGCAAAGAGAAAGCTGAGGGAAAATCTGAGCACTAATGGATCCATGATTGATCCAAAATGAACTAGCTTTAAAATGTCTAATGGTTTTAGTGCAGCTTGTAAGCGAAACGGGAACTACTGGAAGGAAATGAGAAGCCCGCATGAAAGAAAACTAAGTCCCTTTCAAATAACAGCGGGATCGGCAAGATATGTATTACCAGATACAAGCCTTTGTATTGGGAATAAACAAGCAGTTAAAGGACACAGAGACAGCAAAAAGAGTACCTCCATCTCCATCTTATGTGAACATAATCTAGCCATTACTACAGCAGCAGTTTCTTGATCAAATCCTTGTACAAGTTCCTGCAAAAAAGAATGCTATCTCAATATTTGCACCTACATTTCCAAAACACATAGCTCCAAAAAGCACTGTAACATAATAAAATATTAAAAGTGGCCTGCACTGAAGTTATGACAGTCAGGACATCCAAACCAATATAAAAATTTTTTAAAAAAATAAAGAATAATGCTCTAAACTACTAGTTACTAAAATGCTTATGGAAACTGATAACTCACAGATATAGCCTATCATCGTTACAAATAGTAACTGTCAAAATAAATGAACATAAAAAGGAATGTATCAAAAGTCAAAAACTAACCACAACAAACCAAGTCAAGCAGCATCAGCTGTAACTGGCCAACACACAAAAGGAAGAGATAATAATTGCCTATTAAACAACTTATATCCATTGCAGATTTAAAGTTTCTCTAAATATTGAGATAAAATGTGAGGGATGCATTTATTCAATTTACTCTATAGCTGACTATAAGTAGCAAGATTATAGACTATTGATAGAGCAAAAGCTACAACAAGTCTGGCTCTCAGATTTTAACTATCCTTTGCTTTGGAAAAATTCTGTTGTACTCCCTCCGTATTCAATTAATTGCTCCACTTCTCCGAGAGAGGAGTTTTAGGAGAAATAGTAGAAAATATTATTTTATAATTCAATTGGGGTTGGTTGAAGAATAAAATAAATCTGAAAGAGCAAAAGTGGGTATAACCGCATAAGTGAAGAGAGAGAATATGAAAATATTAAAATATGATATAAGGGGACCACTAGTGGGGTGGAAAATAGTAAAATATCATTAAAAGTTTCCAAAAAAGGAAATGGCGCAATTATTTAAATATGACCGCAAAAGGAAAGTGGAGCAATAAATTAAATACGAAGGGAGTACAGTATAAGAGTTGATGAATAGTTTCCAAGTTAGAGATACATGTTATTATTTCAGAAATAGCAAATTCATTAAAACAGCCCAATAATTACTAAGATACTTCCTTTATTTTTTACTTTCCAGTTGCCACCAGATGAAAGGGGACAGAATCCAAGGAAATGTTGAGGGAGAAGAGGGGCATATAGTCCATTTAATTAACTATCTTACTTACCCACACCAACCCCTAATTTAGCCACCACCTTCCTTCCTTCCCCTACTTCCCTTACTAGTGTTACAACATATCATCCACCACCACCATCACCGACCAACCTTCTTGCCTGAGGTTAAATATGTAAAGCCTTCTTTTCCTCTCAGATCTGTGTCACAAACAGCCAAGCCATTGTTTCAAAGATTACTCATTTTACCCTTCTATGACTACCCATCCCTTCAACCACCAGAAGCAGTGCTTCTCATTGTTTTATCTCCAATTTAAATTAAGGGATTTCATCCTTCCAATCAAGATTCAACAGTTCCTTTGATTTGGTATTCCGTTGTTCACTTTCAGGGGAAAAAAATAATAATATATATATATATATATCAGTATACTGAAGAAATTAATCAGTTTCTCTTCTCTTTCTCTTTTTCCCAATTAGAGGGGTTGTGAAAGTGGTGGTGAGGCTGTAATTTTGGGAGAATGATAGCAGTACAGTGATGTGGGATGGTGGTGGTGAGTTTAATATGTGACAGTAATTTGGGTGGTGGTATTCGAGGGTAAAGATGGTAGTTTGCTTACATCAATTATTTTTATAATGTGGGACTTAAGTGATCACGTAAGGACAAACGTGAGATTTCCGCATGTAACAATCACCTAATTAAGTAATGTTGCAAGTAATATGACAATTCCCATAAAACCCATAAAAGGAAATTGTTGAAAAAACAGTAGAGTAAGGTTGTCATCGACTAGTAAATCTGCAGTAAGTCTCACTCTCACATTCAACATCTTATGAAGCTAAACTAGAGGTTTTGGATCTGACAATGCAAACTACCAGCTCCTTTGATATAAAGAAGCATAAATTTGTACAGGAATTCAAAAGAAATATATTAGAAATAAGGGAAGGGAGAAGTAAATCATGCAGATATGATAATTTGTGAAGCAAGAAATCAGGAAGTATGATTATAATTCTCAAGCAACACACCTCAGAACCAACAACACTCTCTACCCATCTTCTACTGACTGTAGTGATGCGAAGCATTGTTTGACAATCCGGAGTCTGATAACTGCCGAGAAACAAAACAGTTAACAGTCAGATAAGCTCATGGAAAAATAATTAATTCAGGGTACATGTTCAACAAAAATAATAGACAAGTATAAATCTTTTAATCGCCAAAGCAACAGACCTGGTCAGAAACTGCAAGTACAATTGGGGATTCGTAGTTCCAAAAGGATTTGCTTTTTCACTAGACGAGATATCAAAGAAGATGGTCAAATTAGTATTTTTGTCGAGACTACATAACTTCCAAGCTGTTGTATTCCCTTGTCCAATAACTGTATCGGCTACGGCAACTCCTTTCTGCAAGGATAAATAGTGATAGTGTTAGATTGCATAACTGAACCTAGTTTGCAACATTTACTGATGCTACAAACCTTGGCATGTGAATCTTCCAGAAATTATCAAGTTGAAAATAGAAACAATAAGTAATATACAATTAACACTCCAGAAACTTTAAAGGAAGCTTCAAAGTATTCAGGCCAAACCTTTTCTAGTGATGTGCAAGGTCCAATAGCGCCTTGAATTTTGATATCCTTGGAACAATATATCTCAAGCGCGCCACTGGCGTAATAAAAAATGACCAAGTATCAGCAAAATTAGAAGAGTGGATTTAATAACGAATGTATAGGCACATTACAAAAAAAAAAAAAAAAAAAAAAAAAATAAAAATAAAATTGAGGCCTAAGTAGCACACACAACACAAAATAGGAAAAGAACACTTAAAACCATAAATTGATCATGTACATATAAATACTCCCTCCGTGTTTAAATAAATTAACGTTTTGACTTTCACGGAGTTTTAGGAAAGTTAGTTGAATTTATTAAAATAATAGGTAGTGGGTTTAAGTTTGAGAAGAGATTAGAAAGTAAGGGGTTTTGTGGGGACCATTAGTTAGTAGTAATTATTAAAAAATAGAGAAAAATTACTTAAAAAAAGGAAAGGTTTCATTTATTTAAACACGGCCGCAAAAGGAAAACGTTTTATTTATTTAAACACGAAGGGAGTACACATTTTTATATATAAACAAATAAATAAAACCATATAACAAGGGAAGACAGCCACATGAATTGGAAATATTGGCTGCAAACCCTAACGCAAACTATCTTAAACCTACACTTGATGTTATCTTCTCAGTCTTCCAGGAAATACTTCTCCAAGAGCCCAATGGACCAGCCGCCTGAAGTTCATACTTCAGATAACAGCAAAAGCAAGTGGAACCCAAGAGCAGGCAGCTGAGTCTATGACAGTGTTACCCAATTCATGGTACAAGGAACAGGTATGGGAACACTAATACCCGGGATGGGGGAGCGGATTAGTGAATAAGGTAAAACTGGTCTGTGATGTTCACAAGTAACAATTCAAGCCAACTGAATGATTGCCATCTTCCAATATGTCTTTTTTAGCAGGTAATGACCATCACACTACACAATCAGCTCAGCCAAAAGCGCTCTGCAAAAAACTCCGCCTTAAGCACTCTTCTTTAAATTTGCTTCCCAGCCAAAGCAATTCAAAAATACTACATAAGTCTCCACATTCCGCAATATGCAAACTCGTATAATTTCTTTCTGGTTGCATGAATATCCACATCGACAACATGACACACCTTAGCAGCTAATCTAGAAGCAGTACACAATCCAGCATAATAAATACCCAAAATCAAAGACATACGTACATTAACAACAGCCAAATATCGAAATTCATAATTTGACTAATTTCTCGAGGTATTCACTCAAAATCCTTGTCAATCTATTGACAACAATTCTCTTGTTCAGATACAAAGAAGCACTTAGTATGAATCTCTTCAAATAAAGCTTCTCAAATATCAGTAACAGGGTAGGCAAGTTCAAAAAAAATTCAGCACTGATTCACCAATATCATAAGTGCCCCAAAACAACACAAATCCCCGCATAAAAAGGAATGAAATATGTTCTTCACTGCCAGTATTCTTAAAGTCACAAGTACAAACTAGAATTCAGCACAAAGGAACTATTAATAAATCCAAACATTTTGTACTTAACCAAAATCAATTACAACGTTTCTAGTTGCCTTTCTTGGATGACAATGACCCAGCTGTTTAGGCTCAATATTTCCCCTTCCCTTGGCACTCAGCAATAACAGAATCATTAAGGAATATAAAGAGGTTCAAAACTTGACCATTTGCTGATAATTATATATGCAACATTTCATGGTTGACCATCTTCCTAGATAGTAGATAAACCATCCATTGTTTTAATCACTTTTAAAAGTCTCACTACAGTCAAACACTGCACCACCAAGGGATAGAAAAGCTTAAAACAAGCCATGCTAGCATGATTCTATCATTAAAGCAGAAAAAATTTGCCACAATCTGGAATGTTGGCATCCCAATACAAGTAATCAGGAAAGTTTGTTTACCTCCCCAAAAGCCACAAGACTATCTAAAACAATTCTGTTGCATAGAAGACAGAAATTTTCACATAAACAGCAACTTTGGTTCAAGAATTTCTAAAAAAGGAGTAGCACAACAAAAAGATAACAGGGAAAACACCAGATATAGCAACACATAATTGTTTAATTTACAAATAAAAAATACATACTTAAAGCATAAACCAAGAGAATGTTCTCCTTCCTCAAAAAGGCGCTTGAAGGAGTCTTTGAACACTGAGTGACCAAAACTCTCTGATAGCACAACAAGACCACCAGTATTTTCAACTGCAACCTTCATCTCTGCCACTCCAACCTTCAAAGTATTGTGATTCCGTTAGTGAATAAATTGCAAAATATCACCAAAAGAATAGAAAGTTGCATGTACTGATATATCATTCACCCAAATTTAAAAGGTTCTTAGTCGCTTACATCCTACTTGTGAGCAATAAGATTGTCTTAAAATGTAAGAGAGTTCCAATACTTACAACCCAACAAAAATAATACACATAGCCGTATGACAACAAAATAGCAATTGAAATGCCTATGTCTAGCTTTACTATGTAATTTATAAGTTATAGCTACTACAACAAAAATAAGATGGAAATAATGTCCTTTGGAAAATAATCTTTTACAAACCTTGGGCTGAAACTACCATGAAAAGACAAAACATAACCTCAGTCACATACTCACATTTCTATCAAGCAGACCATCCAGGCAGAAGCCAAGATAGCATACTGTATAGAGGTAGCAAACCAACATACACAACATGTTCAATGCACTAAAAAAGATCAATACAAATATTTTGACATATGCAAGTCTTATAATGCCAGTAAATCAATCAGAGAGGAAAAAATATAATACATATATAGGTATGACAACAAAATGACAGACCTGATCAAGCGCAGAGGCAAAGAGGTCCAAGACATGACCCTGGCTAACAAGCTGTTTTCCTAAACTATCATAAAATTTTACAGCTTTTTGGAAAAAGGGTGCAGCATCTTTATCAAGATCCTTGTGGGAGCGAACAGGCTCTGACAAATCTTTGGATACAATCTGCAAAAGAAACAAAAAAGGCAAAATAAAGAATCAGTCAGGTTTTGAATCACACAGATCAAAGTAAAGCCCAGTATGCATAATGCATCGGTAAATAAAAGGATATATATATATAAAACATGCTTAGACAAGACTCGATATAACTTCTTAAGTACAAGTTGCTTTTCCTCCCCCACTGAATGACCCAAGTTTTACTTCAATATAACCACAGAAAGTGTTTCTTGAGAAGCATTAGCTGTGGACAGAATTAAAATCAGAGGTGGAGCTTGGGTAGAGTGGGTAGCAACAGCAAGGTACTCCCCCCATATCAATTATAATTATCAATAGTTTACTTTGTAACCATATATCCAACACATGGGCTGGCCCCTTCAAAACTTTTGAAAAAACAAAAGCATATTGAACTTCATATTCAATGAGAAACCCACAAGTATCGAAAGCATGACTGGTTTCCAATTCCAACATAAAGCCCACTGAGACAATAATCTTTGAAAAATTGAAATATGAAAATAAACCCCCTTAACTATTTTTCTTTTTTCTTTTTTTTTTTAACTCTCTTTTTCACTCTTGGAATTAGTACAGTGGCATTGAGAGAATAAAAAAATTATATTCAGAAAATCTTCAACTTCTGCGTATCAACCAGACAATATAGCGAACAGGCAAATAGATCATGATAGAAGCCACAGAAGCAAACCTATTAATGTCACTATTTGAGACAAAAGGGTAGCACTGAATCAAAGAAAATGCATGATGTCTTACAACTTGCAAAGCAAACATACCGTTCCTGGCCCTTCTGTGCAAGGACCACCCACCAAAGCAATAATCCGAGCACCAGTTCCTGGTGAACAGGCTCCAAGCAACCCTGCAGCCACATTCAATGCCACACCGGTGCATCGCAATGCTCTACTACCAGGTGGAACAGGCCACTGGTCTGTTTGTAGTTCATCCAGTAACTAAAATTCACAGACACAGAAAAAAAAATTAGCACATTTCAAGCCCCACCCTAGACAATCCACCAAAAAGTCAAAAACTAATGGTGCTCACTTAATTAGGAAGAAAAAGAACATGTGCATAATGGAAAAATGAAAAGTTGAAAATTGTTAACTTGACAAGAACTTACATAGCTTGGACTCTTCATTCATCACAATTACCAATTTACCGCTGTCAGATACTCAACTCTTCGACTATGTAAGACAGTCAATTTAGAACCAAGAGTGTGCAACATTTTTACAAAAACGACTAAGGCAAGGAGTTTGTTACAGCCCATGTCTAATTCAAGTCCAAACGACTATTGATTTCAAAAAAAATAAAAAGATTACAACTTCTCCCATCAAAAGAGAGGGATCGCCGGGTAAAAAGGATGCAATCAACCAAAGAGTCATGATCACTTCCAAAATATGTGCTTAGAATTTTCTCACTTCCTAGATATCACTTAGAATCAACTAAAACTAAAAGAAGAGTAAAACACTCTCAAAAAGCAATATGCACAATCAAATAAAAAATTACACTGAAAAACCTACACTTGCAAATTATACATATGAACTGATCAAAAATCAATACTTGGTAAAAAATAATATGCAACTATCTAGCAATAACATATATCAACAGCCAGAACCACTCATCATGCTACATTGGAGAAATTGAACTAAATCAGATCACTGTAAAACGAACATCATCATCATCAAATATAAGCAAAACAAGTCATTACTCAATTATAAGATCTTATACTACACCTACATTGCATAAATCAACAACGATTCAATCATCATCATCAATCCAAGATGATAAAACTCACCGCATTAAGAGTATACTCGCAATCGGAAGCCGGCAACAGGAACCGATTAACACCGGGACCAGGCAATCCATTCTGCACAACCGGCTGTCCTCTGGGGTACCCACCAGGGCCAGCAGCACCAGCAGGTCCAGGTCCACCACCTCTCCGCGACGACGGACCCAATCCAAGCTGATCCAACACCTGATCCTTAGCAATCTCCTTGGAACCCCTAAAGATGTAAACTTTATTCATATCAGAGAACCCCAATTCATGAACATGCACCTGAGTACCATACGAAATAAACCCAACAAGAGCATTATCCGGCAACGACACAATCGCCCTTCTCAACGCCGATTTCACAAACCCCATCTCCTCTTCAATCATACAAGTATCAAGAACAAAGAGATAAACAGGAGGAACAGCCGCAACATTCGATTGAGGCGCATGTGGGTCCCCCGGATTTGAGGAGAGAGAATAAGCAATTGTGGTGTACTGAGGGTAAAGCTCAGCAGGAACATTGTGCTCGGAAACGCCGGAATAGTGCGGCGGAAAGTGGTTACGCTGGAAACAAAAGGGGCAGATCCAGATCTTTGCGGCGAAATCGACGCGGCAAAAGGGGTTGAGCGCAGCAACGCAGGTCTTACAACGGAGAGGTGCGTAAGGTAGAGTGGGAATTTCTGGGTGTGCGCGGATCGGAGCGATTGATACGGCGATTGGGATCACACACTTCGATGCTTCGACTTTTGTGCGAGGCCAAGCGTTCCATGACATTCTTACGCCGTCGATTCCTTCCGGATCTGCGGCCGCCGGTGGTGGAGCTCCGCCCATCATGTCGGGTGTCGCCATTGATGATGATGATTGAGAATTGTGGTTAATTTTTTCGGGGAATTTTTCGGGTTTTTTGGGGATTTTTTCTGGGTTTTTTGTTTGGGATTATTGATTAATTTGGGGATTTTTATTTTTTTTTCGATTTTTTTGGTTTTTCGGGACCCCCGGAAGAAATGGAGGTGAAGAGGGTCACAGAGGATGGATGAATGAATGATGATGGTGGAGGAGAGACGAAGGAGGAGGAGAGGTGAAGAAAGAGGGGAGAATTGTACAGTATTAAGGAAAGTCAATTTTGGCATTTAATTTCCTTTTATATATGTGTCTATAAATTGATACGAAAGTTTAATTACAAGTAAAATTAGTTGAGGGGTGTTCGTGTATTTTGTAATGGGTTAATGGACTATAACTAACACATGGTTATAAAACTTGTGTTTTGGAAGTTTTGATTGAAAGTCTCGAGTTTGAACCCTAGATGGACAATGACAAGTTTTTCACGTCTAGAAGGCAACTCGACTCGTAAATTTTGAGTAGTTGTGATCTAATTGATCGTTTAGGTTTTTGATTATCAATTGATTCAAAACTAATGAAATTGTGTGGGTTTTTATTATTTGTAAAGATCTCGTTATAGAACTGACTTGACTTGAATGGCTCGACCCAAACCCTCATAGTACCCCGAAACTACATGATCGAAAATTGACCACACTTGAGCCTAAGTTGACTCAAAATTGGATGACCAAAAGTCCAAAACAAGCCCAACTTGAACTATCACGACCAAAATCAAATGTAATTAAAATGAATTAAGTTCGCACAAAGGATAATTTTCTATAGATTCGAAATTAGTCTAATCCAACCCATTATATACCCGTTCTAAGCATCTTTTCATTTAAATCAAACTCGTCCTGCACCCAAGTTGAACTACTCGTCTTCCACTTCTACGTAAGCTCATTTGTTTCAATGGCCTTGTTTGGTAGTTGGTTGCTGGATGTTTCTCTTGGTTGGTCTAATTAGTCTAACCAGTTGTTTGTATTAGTTTTTTAAGTTGGCTGTTTGACTATTGGTTATTAATAAATATGTTTGGTAAATGTGGTTGTTGGCTACTGGTTGTTTTATGTAAAAATTATCTTTGGGGATAAAATTACTTTTTTGTCCTTACTATTCACTAATTGTATACAAAAAATAGTGACAAGTAATAAGGATTAAAATGTAATTTTACACATGAAAAGCAAACAGGCAACACCAAAAAGCTAGTAAGACTAGCTTTTAATTAGTTTTGGTGGAAAAGCTAGCTTTTCAGCTAGTTGAAAATATCAAACATATTTTTAGTTGTTTGACCAATCTAAAAAGTCAAAAGCCAATCAAAAAGCTAGCCAAAAGTCATTTACCAAACATGGCAAATTTTTTTAGTTTTATGCATATCAAGAGTAGTTAGTCAACCAACAAATAAAAAGAATGTGATAGCACATTGTATTTATCCCAAACCATACTTGTGTTGAGCTTTTTAACCATTCAAGAGAAGGAGACGTACGATTCACCTACTTTCTTTAGTTATCAAAGTTTCTCTTATCTAAATTTACCTTAGCTTTTATATAAACTTATCAAAACTTATTTGACTTATTAGAATTTATTTTATATGTAAATTGAACTTAGACCGATCTCCCTTAAATCATCATACTACGTAAATTATTTTTCCTGAACTTATATAATCGTCACTTACTTTTTCTGAAATAAATGAAAATATAGAGAGTAAAACATGTCTTTATTTCCACCAGCAATATATTCATAAAAATGTTCATCTCAATCCCAAAACAGGGTTGAAGCATGCATTAGTGGCATTACCATGCAAACACTATTCGTATCATTTTTATTTTTTTATGATAGAAAGGTACACGATATTAGTAATCTCCCTATCTTAGGGAAGACTACTAAAATCTAAAAGCCTCTCTATCTCAGGGAAAGACTAATAGATGAAAGATAAAAGAAAAATATATAAAATTAAAAAACATAAAAATAATAATAAAGACCTATGCTAAAAAAACAAGCTTCTTAAAGAAGCTAAACAAAACTTCTCTAAGATGCTAAAATGTATAGCTACTCATAGAAGTTAAAGCAAACAGCTAATGAACCAAACAACCGACGACATTCATGAAGCGGTGGGTCGCAATACCGGTGAGGCGGCAAAGAAATCAGTGTCGATCTCAACTAGGATCTGGCGTTGAAACACTAGATTGTCGGCGAGGATGATCAAGAGCATAGGCAACTAGAAGCGGAGGGGCAATCAGCTAGCAGAGAAGAAAACAAGGCAGAGAGTCAGAGACACTTAGACTAAGATATTCTAGAGGAAACTACAACAGTAATTGTTAATGGGTGTTCCGTGTCCATGGACATGTTAGAAAATCTCAATTTTAATTTGTATAGTATTGATAATTTTGATGGTAGAAATTAAATATGGAAATAGTTAAACCATGATGGAAAAATAATATCGATTAGACGATTATATAGAAAGGATAATTTGATTGGAAAATCAAACTCGATTGTGCAACTAACCAATCTTTTGATTCAATGATATACCTTTTTTTTTTTTAGATTTTACCCATTATAGAGTAGTAATAATTTAAATATTCATGGCTATATATTTATATAAAGAATGTTATTATAGACAACAACTCTCTATTTTAACAAAACGAAAGTAAAAGATCAATATTTTAAACGAAGGAATGGCATCAAAACATCAATCGGCAGTTATTTGTCTCATCATCTATAGGTATTTCATCTACGGTAATCAAATTATTAATATATTCACCATGCTTAATTTTCTTTATGCAAGATGTTTCATGTGGTAATTGCTTCTTGATCTAAACAAATCAATTTTAGTTTTTAGTTCTCCCTTCGTTATTAATGATCAAACTTTAAAAATTTGATGACTTATATAATTTATTTATGCATATGAAAAAAATACTACAGAGTATCACGCAGGGCGTGTAGTCAAATTTGATTCAATTTGTTATTAAATCATTTTAAAAATAACTTTAACTCCATATTATGAAACTAAAAATATTAATGATAAAGAAATTACATTAACAAATCAAATAAAATGTAAATAGGAAGATTTTTAAGGAAATGACGGAGTGCAAAAAATTAGTAATCAATTTTACCTTCAAAATGATGACGTTGATGACTTAGCTTGAAGATCTTATACCATACACCCATCTTTTTCTAAAAAAAAAAAGTTTATGTAGGAATTAGCTACATATACTCTGTGATTGAGTTTTATATTTAACTTATATATTTACACATTGTTATAGATGTATTTCTTGTTAATTGAATATATATTAGTAATAATCTTGGATAATAAATAAAGTCGACAATTGATGTCTTAGGTAAGGTGGATTCAACATGGAGCAAAAATTGCATATTCGTAGGGCCATGCAAGTATCAAGATGAATGTTTGAAGAAATGCAAAGCTTCGGGCATCATAACATATACGTTTTTCTGTGGACAAGGGCCACATTATCCTAATGAGTGTTGTTGTGAGGGAGGTTATTTATTTCCCCCTTCACATAACTAAATGAATGATTTTTCTTGATCATTTTGGGTTGTGATTAATAAACTTACTTATGTCTTTAGATAAAGGGCTTTATGAGACAATTTTTCTTAAGAAACATATACTCGTTTAAATTTTGTCTATGTGAGTCTGTACAATAGTTTTTTATGTACAACTATTTCTACCTTGAAGTAAATAATATATTGATTCAAAATAACAAGTATATAATATATAATTAGAGCTATTTGTTTATCCATGTGTTTGTATGATGTGTGAGCACTTAAATGGTCTTGTTTTTTTTTTTTTTTTTTTTTTTACGAGACACTTAAATGTTCTTGGTTGTACCTAAGCTAGAAATATAGTTACATGTTGAAGATTCTCGTAATTCACATACAATAATTACTTCTGTTTAACGTACGTCAATCTATATATGAGCATAATATAGCTTCCATTTGTAGTGATGTTCACTTTTTGTAATTGTGTATGTGTTTACTTGTTGATAATGAGATACTTAAATTCATATACAATTAATTCTTTATTTCTTCTCACTTACACTAATACTTGCACATAACTTTATATGCATTGCAATGATTCCGTCCAAAACTTCACCCGAAAACACAATTTTGTCATACGGAATCAACTAATCAACATATAAGCACTCTTTTTAGGAATAGTATTTCTTTCATTTGATGACAATAAAGACACTAAGGGAGAGTATAAAGATGGGCCAATAAACAGGGGACCAAACATACTCAAAGGAGTGGTTATAAATTGCCCAACAATACAATTAGGTCTGGTGAGCTAAATGAGAGTAAAATTTTCAAAAACTCTCGCTAAAAATGAAACAAAGTAGATTTGTAAAGAACATTAAGCAATGAATTAATGAGGAATGTCGCATAAAATCACTTAGGAACAAATAAACTATATAAATAGTTCAAAATTCTAAGTGTTACCGTATATGTGGTGTGAACTTAAGGTAGAGCCATCAAATTGAGCTAATTAGAACTTACACCCGGTTATATGTAGTTCTACATGCATGGAATCAGGGTACAATAATATTGATACTTTTTTGTGATAAATGTACATGCGTATCAAACAAAAACACTAATATTATATATTAAATAAAAGCACAAACATAATTTTAAAAGCACATTAATAATAAAATAAAAGCACATAAACAACAATAAAAATAAGAATGAATAATAGTATCAACAGCATAAACAACATAATTATAAAACTACACAACAATTATAAACAAAACATATCATTACAAATATGAAGCACATTATAATAATATATTCCGTAACAAAAACACAATAAGTTATGCCATACGAAATAGTTCTACTTGCTTGGTTACATACTTACATGTAGATTTACATATAACTTGATATAACTTCTATCATTGATGATACTAATTTATTAAAAAGCGTTCCTTAATAATATATGTGTCATGTAGCACATTTTTCAAACGCTGAAAACATGTCATATCATTCATAATCAACAATGTTACGTGACACATGATACTGCACCTTTCTCAAATAGTAGAAATGTGCCACATCATCCACAATCAAACTTATCATCTTAGCCAACATTTAGTTATACTTTTATATATAATGTTTTTAATTATATATCTAACTTTATTAGGGTGTTTATTTTATATAATTTTTTGTATTAGTTCTTCTATTTTTTAATAATATTTATTATATCTCAATATAATAGTTATAATAATGACCCTGAACATTGTTCGGTCCACACACTAATTTTGATCTTATCGATTAAATTGGGTCTATGGTGCTTAGCAAATGACACGACCCCTCAAAAAATGACGTGTTCAACATGAATGCATGCAACACTCCCACATGTACACAACCGTCAAACGTAGTACGGAGTATGATTTATATGAATCTATGAGTTAGCTAAGTGAAGTCAGCCAATTATACATTGAAACTTGAAAGTGATTATTAGGTAGAAATTAGAGTGTCAAGAAATACCATTTTAATTTCAATTTGGTCGAGCAAATCTTGCAATTAGTGATGGCTCAGGCAACATTTACGGCTCATGACCAAGAAATGGAGTACTTCCCGCTTGTGAGCGGCCATAAAATACCGGCGGTGGGATTGGGTACTTGGAAATCTGCTTCTCAAGCTAGAAGCTCTGTCTTCACTGCCATCGCCGAGGTATCATGTTAAAGTTGTGATAAAGTTATTATGGTATGTGCGTTTTTAAATACTTGCAACATTCGACTATATGTCTATACTAGTTTAGATCCCGTGTCATGCACGGTTATTTTAAAGTTATTTATAATTAACTTAAATAATATTAAATAACACATATTTTCTGCCAATGCACAACTTTGAGTATCAACATCTTTTAAAAGGATCGATTTCCATGGATGTGGCTAAAAGAATTCAAAATTCCTCAATTGTTCCACTTTTTATCAGAATTCCCTATATACCATCCACGTATCCAACCTCTAAAAATATGATTTTTTTTTTCCTAGTTAAAAGCAGAACCGTAATTGACCCTACATAAAAACCGCTAATTGAATTAGCAATTTTACCTTGCATAAAACCGCTAATTTTATATTAAACCCACAATTTTTTGTAAGGTGATTTTTTACTCAAATAAACCGCTAATTGAATTAGCGGTTTTATATAAAGTAAAATCGCTAATTCAATTAGCGGTTTTGCTCTACATCCCTAAAAAAAATAAAATTATATTTAAATAGGATAGATGACATGGACGATATATAGGGAATTTTTATAAAATATAGTGTAATTGTGGAATTTTGATTTCTTTTAACAATATTCATGGAAATCACTCTCTTTTAAGTGCTCCAAAACGTTTGGATTTTGCACCGTAAAAACAACACTTGGATCAATGCTTGTATCTGATTTATAAATAGAATTAAGCACCTTCATGAAGTGCTTGTATGTGATTTATAAATAAAATTAAGCACATTCATGAAGTATATGTTATCTTTTTTTTTAAAAAAAAAGGACAAACAAATATATTAAAAAAATGGACAAACAAATATATTAAAAAAATGGAATTTTTTGATGGATTAAAATTTTACCAGAAAATGGCAGATATCATATGTAGTATATATGAAGTATATGCTAATATGGTTTAGATAGCTATTGGTCGATAGATCATTAATGTTAATATAAATTTTAATTATTAGAAAATAAGGGAAAGATATATAAAAAATAAAAAAAAAACATATTGGAAACAAGAATTTGGCAAGTCAAAATCACAAATGAAGTAACACTTGCTTAATCAGAAAATAATACCGTTAATTAATATGATGTAACTATCTTTTAATAAGATAACTAGATGATCTCGTGCCATGTACGGTAATTTTCACTATTTATTATTAGTTTAACAATATATTTAATTATAAAAATTATCTAATTGCATGCGAAATAAGATGAAAAATTCGTAATTACAAAAATAAAAATGAAATTATATCATACTATAGAAAATCGTGGGGGTATTACATGCACGACTAATATAAATAATTATAGATTACGTCACAAAGTTATACTTAAGAAAATATTATTGCATAGTATTAAATAAAAGAATAATATTTTTGTTGAATGTGGATAAATGGAATATAATTACCAAATAGTAAAGGAAATATAATTTCATAGTATTGAATATTCTTTAAGAAGCTTTGGAAAAAAAAATTATCTTGGAGGGAAATTTTTAAAAAATAAAGGACATGACACATGTCATTCTTGGTTTCTCCTTTAATGTAATATATAGTTATAGTTATAGATTTCTGTGTTAAAGTCATTTTGATGCAATATAACGTAAAAATGTTTTTATTATTTCATACTATAAATTAAATCCATTTGTGTGTAATTGATCAGAAAAAAAAAAATCATTTTAAACAAATAATATTAATATTAGTAATAAGAATCTTTAATTGGTATTATAATATATAAATTTATTGTCTTAAATAAGTTGTCAGTTAAAAAGATATAAAAAGAAAAATAAAGTTAGAATAACATTATTTTTGTAAAATGATTTTTGGAGGGAAAAAACGACACCAGGAAGTGACATGTGTCATTCCCGGTGTCTGTTTTAGTATTATGTTATTATTGATGATTGAATCATATTAAAAGATAGGTACATTAAAAGATAGTGAAGCTACATCACTATCTTTTAATAAGATACTTAACCTCTGGGCTTGGCCCACTTTCTCACCAAGAAAAAATAAAAATAAAAGATACTCAAGCTTGCGTCATAAGCTATAACAAAGGAGATCGAATTTTTGTAAAAATTATCCTAACCAATTTTATTTTTATGTAAGTAGAAATCATACATATTTTAGCTAACATATTCATCATACCATATAACTAATATATAAAGCTTAACTTTTAGCCAACAAGAGACAGTGACACTTGGCGTTTCAATTTTTCGCCATAGATTATAAAATTAGATTATAACTCTCATTAATAATTATCTTATAAATTTATGTTTTATATGTTATAAAATTTGATTTAAAGAGTACTTCAAAATAAATCTATTTATTATATATTTTATCAATTGACATAAAATATAATTTAGTCATTATTAAATATACAAAGTTGTACGATTAATCAAGTCACACAATATAACAAAACGTCCGTACAATTAGCCAGGGCACGAGATATGGCATTCCAATTTTTCATAAGTGTCATGCCACGTAGGTATAGGTAACAACTAACTGATTGATGTGTATAATTTATTTGTGTATATAATTGTTTATATTAATGATATGTTTTAAAATCTAGCATATAAATAAAAAATTTATCTTAAATTTAATAAACAACCCGGGCACGGGCACAAAATTAGTTACTTAAATATAAGGATTTTATAATAAGTAAGATATTACATGAAAAATATAATATTTTCCTTACAAATTGAATGGTATCATTTAAGTTATCATTGCCTAAAAAACAACAATTTTATTTATAGATATTTACAAAAAAAAAAAAAAAAAAAAAAAAAAAAAAAAAAAAAAAAAACTAAGGACACGCTAGAAGATGACACGTGTCATTGCTGGTGTGTCTTTTAGTATATATATTTATTTATTGATGTTTAGAAAATTAGCTAAAGTTGGTTAATTAGTTTATGCTTGAATACTGTGTGTGTAGTACTCCTTATAAACCTCTTATGAGTTTTGTAAATTTTATTACTGTAGGCTGGTTATATGCATGTGGATACAGCAGCACAATATGGTGTACAAGAAGAGGTAAAGTTTATAAATTCATGCTTTATTATCAATGTTACAATCAATATGATACATATTACATATTCTTTCTTCCTACTAAAATTGCCCCAAAATGAGTTGTTTAAAAGGTTTTTTAAAAGGAAATGTGTGAGGATCGATGTGATTTTTTATTTTTTCTTTGTTTTTATCTCTTTCTCTTTTGAAAAGGGTATATATGCCGGTTAGGGGCAAAATATAGATTTTTTTTTCCATGATTAGGCAAACTAAATAAGACAAAAATGAATAAATGAAGATGTACAAGGCTAACTTAGTGAGACAAAGGGAGTTATAGTATTGGATCTTGGATTAAAAGGTTGGGGCTAAGGTTTAAACTCCCACCCTTTTTACATGTATTTTGATACGTTAATTTTTTAATTTTTTTTAAAGTATATAATTTCGGCTGGCTCCCAACCTGTCTTGAGGATCCCTATAAGAGGGTGTGGTTCATTGTATTAAAATGGATTGGTATGGAATCTTTAAAACCTATACTAGTGTAAAGTTGTTTGGATTTATTGTTATAATGAATTCTATACTTTATTAATAGAATGAATTGTGAATCTTGATCGGGGGGAGAGGTAGGTATGAGATTCTATAAGTATAGGGTAGAGTTAGAACTCCTTGGGTATGAGATTCCATTATTTAAAAAACTCAACCAAACAAAAAAATAGTTGGAATAATATCTAACTCCATTCCAATTCATTTCAAAAGATCTAACCAAACGATTTCTTAGAGGGATTCTCCACTTCTTAGCATAAGTATGTAGATGGCGGACTCAAACTTGAATTGTGACCTTAGGTCACAAGTTGAGCTCCCCACGGCTACCATATTTACTAAGCTTGCTTAGTCAATGAAGATTCTTTAGCTATTTTTAGTATTTGGAATATTGTTATTATACTTTGTCCTATCTATTACATACGAAGTGCATATTAAAGCTACCAATACTACTATGTGCTATCATAATGATATTGTATTACGGAGTAGGTGTTTTCCTTATGAGGAGAGTTGTTCTTCCATACCTTTTAAAAAAAAAATCTTTTCAGATCACACCTTTGCTATTTATGCACATGTTCATGTGGCAGGTTATTAGGTGAATCTAGTATGTCAACTTAAATTCTTTTATCAATCTATAATTTCCCCAGGTCGGTCGTGCACTTAAAGCAGCCATGCATGCAGGCATAGAGAGGAAGCATATCTTTGTCACTTCAAAGCTATGGTATCTTCAAAATTCTGAGCCAAAAACTTAATTCCCTTCAATATGGTCTAGTGTCTTTAACTTCCTCAGCTCCGTTATCTTTATTACTCGTATATATTACTTCTTTAGTCTTATCTATCACGCATGTAAATGTATAACTTTTAACAATCAATATCTTTAGTTTTCAACAAGTAAAATTGTTAAAAATTAAGTATAGAGTACATACTATAGGTCTATAATAGAATTTCATATTTAGGCGGTTTTAACAAGATCACAGTACACGTGCTACATTTTTCTTTACATATAAATCTATGTGATCATATCATAATATGGAACATATATAAGTCACATGGAGTAATCTAAGGGGAGTGCTAATTGTATCATGATACCATGCAGGTGTACTGACTTATCTCCAGAAAGTGTTCGACCTGCTATAAACAATACTCTTCGAGAACTTCAGCTTGACTATCTCGACCTCTATCTTGTAATTAACCAGCCCCATTTGATAATCAACTATTACACTACGGATTTGTAAATCATGAAATTTGATACTACTAGAGTAATTAATTTGCAGATTCATTGGCCATTTCACTTGAAAGATGGAGCTAGTAGGCCACCTAAGGCAGGGGAGGTAACGGATTTCGACATGAAAGGTGTATGGAGGGAAATGGAAAAGCTCGTGGAGGAAAAACTTGTTAGGGACATTGGTGTTTGTAATTTTACAATCAAGAAGCTTAACAAGCTGCTTGATATTGCTCAAATAAAGCCGTCAGTTTGCCAGGTAATTAGTACCTTTGCTTATATAAGTAGTATGGTTGAAATATTCAACAATTCAACATAATTAGCTAGAGATATGTGTTGATAATTCTTAGGGGATTGATAATATTAGGTTAATTTTGTAGGTGGAAATGCACCCGGGATGGAGGAACGACAAAATGCTCGAGACTTGCAAGAAAAATAGCATACACGTCACGGTAAGGAGTGTTCTATTGATTTTCACTAATTGCAAAACCTGTCTCACCCTAATGGCCTAATGTTTGGGATGTATAATGTATATATGCTAATCCAATAAATAGGTTTGTGATTTCAACCTTATTGGATCATATTCATAATCTATTACTGTACATATTTGTGGAGTGTCATGTTAGCAACTTAATTGGAAATCACAAAATTTGTATTCGTACATGTATTATTTCGAAATGGAGCCAAGCAAGTGCATATTTACATGTCTTTTGTTGGTGGTAGGCATATTCACCGTTGGGGTCACAAGATGGAGGACGAGACCTGGTGCATGATCCCGTGGTAGATAAGGTGGCAATGAAGTTGAACAAGAGCCCTGGCCAGGTTTTGGTCAAATGGGCCTTACAGCGAGGAACCAGTGTTATACCAAAATCAACCAACCCTGATCATCTCAAAGAGAATGTTCACGTCTTCGATTGGGTAATACCCGAGCAAGATTTTGAAGCTCTTTGCACCATTAAAAACCAGGTACAATATACATTATACTTCGTAATACATTTTGCCAATTTTTTTTATAAGGTATTGTCAATTGTCAATATAAAGTCTTTAAACATGATTATTAGAGAAATTTTTCAATATATCTCTAGGATACTTCATCTAATAATGATCAATATTTGTGAATTGTACAGAAGCGTGAGTTGGATGGGGAAGCTCTGTTTGTTAACAAGCGTGATGGACCATTTAAGAGTGTTGCTGATTTATGGGACCATGAAGATTAGAGCATCGACTTTTTCTGTTTCCTTAAATACCCTCTAAACTTTAAGTTAATTGTTCATATGCATGAGTTCATCTAGAAGAGAGTCATGGAGCTAATAAGCGACATTCAATTTTTGCGGGTTTATATGCATTGCAATAAAATGTGATATATGTTGTTGAACATGTAAGTACACTCACAATCTTTAATGAGATAAAACCAATTAATAATTGAATATTTGAATGTAGGTACACTTGGAGACTCTTTCTCTAAACTTTTTCTTTTCTTTTCTACACCCTCTCCATTTTAAATTAACACAATTAAACATAGTCAAACTTGAGATGCATGAAATGATTTAAATGCGTAAATTTGACCTTTGACTACAATGATACTAGTATACTACCTTTGTTTTAAACTATTTATAACGATTTGACGTAAAGTATGAGTAGTCGAGTAGAAAATATCTTATTTTTGCAAATAATTTGAAACGAAAGTAGTATATTGTATATAGTAGGTGATTGGTAAAAAGCGAGCTAATTGAGACAAAATTAGTTAATTTGACCAATATTAACTAGTTAATTTGACTACTGTAATAAGCTAGTTGGGGTGTTTGGTGGGGAGTTGATTCAAAAGCTTATTATTCCATCAAATAAACTCATTTTCCATAAGTTATTATTTGGAGGAGCTTATTTATACTTAATTAGCTAGTATATTACGGTGAAAGGTGTCTTCAAAACATTTTTACGGTGAAAGGACTATTATATCTTTACTTTACCACAATAAAGTATGTCAATGTCCTTACTAGTCATTTAATTTGTGTACTCAAACAATTTAAAAAAATAAGTTATTTATCAAATACCATCTTTATGCAACCGTTAATATACAATCAATTAGTCAAATCAATTAATAAAATAATTAATTAGTCAAAATAAGTTAACACGATTGGATTCACCTTTTCAGCTTTCAGCTTTTCACCAAACATGATTACTATTAACATTAGTAAGATTCACTCCATTTATTTCATAATAATTGACGCTATAGATTATTTATCATAAAACTTTGACCATTTGTTTTTGTTGTTACATATATTAAAGTTAACCATTACTTCATTTATTATTTTTTAATTACTGCTTAATAAAGTTTCTTATAAACGAAAAAAAACTTATAAAGACCCAAAAATTAATAAAAAGTAAAAAATTATTAATTGGAAATTTATAAAATTATTAAGTATTTGATTTTGAAAGTTACTTAATTGTAATAGAATATGATTGGATAAATTATTTTTTACCCTTTTTTATTTAATATTATAGTATAACCTAAGAGGGGTAATGTCTTTTTAGGTGAATACCATAGTCTCCCCTCAGCCTACACAATAGATATTCAATTGAAAGTGGAATACAATAAAAAATGGAGTGATCTCTTAAACCGTCAAGATAAAGCACTGAAGATGTAATTTTCAATTAATGTATTCTCGTTGTAACAAAGGAGCTAGAAATGCAAAAATAAAAGTAAAAGAATAGATAGACTAATAATAGAGGAAACCCTGGTTAATCTCTATGATAAACAAAAAACGTTTATCGCAGAACATTTTGGTAAATAAATCAACAACTTTATCCAGTCATTATTACAGTGTGGTCCTAAGATAAAAATAATTTATTTATTTACGAAAATGACATGTGATAAAAAAATTAAAAATTGTTAATCTCAAAAATCAACTTGTATTTACCCCTAATAAAATTGATTTTTTTATTTTTTATTTTTTTTTTGATTTTTTCTAAGCTATGCCCTTAAGGTTGTTAAGTTTCTAAGTTGTACTCATGCTTTTTTAAAATTACAAGTTGTGTCCTCCAACTTAAGGTGTTTAATCAATTGTACCCACTAACGTTAACTCGTACATTAGTGATTGTAAAAAAAAAATGGGAATTAATAAGAAGCGGATGAGAAATTTTTTTATTTTATTTTTTGAGTTTTTCTAAGCTATGCCCTTAAGGTTGTTAAGTTTCTAAGTTGTACTCCTGCTTTTTTAAAATTACAAGTTGTGTCCTCCAACTTAAGGTGTTTAATCAATTGTACCTACTAACGTTAACTCGTACATTAGTGATTGTAAAAAAAATGGGAATTAATAAGAAGCGGATGAGAAAAAAATAAATAAATAAAGAAGAAGAAGAAGTACACCAAGTACTAGACACATTAATGGTTGCTTTTAGAAGAATGAAGAAAAAGTATATGAGAAAATGTAGAAAAAATGATTAATGTTAGAGCTCTTTCCCAAATTAAAGTCAAGAAGAACCGCAATTCCCAAATTGCAGCCAAAGTTTTAAGAATTCCCAAAGTACCGTCCACGTCACCGGTTCAGGGGGAAGAAATTTTAAATCCGGTCTACAGCAAAACCGCTACCTGAAGTAGCGGTTTTTACTAATAAACCGCTACTTCAGGTAGCGGTTTCTTTTTAATAAACCGCTACTTCAAGTAGCGGTTTTTGTTTAATAAACCGCTACTTCAAGTAGCGGTTTTCTAGCAGGTATAATTTCCTGATTTCACTTTCCTCTTTCATTTTCGTCTTCTCACCAAAATCCCATCCACGCCTTCCACCAAAATCACACCTCCTTCAACGGAAGCCGGCGCAGCCAAGGAATCCACCGACGCCGCCGGAGCATTCCTCAGCAACGAAGGCCGCCGCTGTTGACGCCGAGGGTTCGACTTTAGTGGTCGGCTTCGCTAATTTCAGAAGAAACGTGCTGATCTTCTTGTTTGTGGTAAGTGCCCTAATTATTTTTTGTATTCAGTTATTGGGTTTGTTGTTGTTATTGAGTTTGTTGTTGTTATTGAGTTTCAGAATTGTATGTATGTGTTGTTGTTGTTGGTTTTGGTTGTGTTGTTGTTGTTAGTGTTCTTGTTTATTGTTGTTGTTATTGAGTTTCGGTTTTGGTTGTGTTGTTGTTGTTAGTGTTCTTGTTTATTGTTGTTGTTATTGAGTTTCAGAATTGTATGTATGTTTGTGGTTGGTTTTGGTTGTTGTTGTTGATTTACTTACCTTACATATAACCCTTGTAGAATTATTAATGGTTTCGATCACATTACTCAGTTTAGGTTGCTATAATTGCTGATTTTGAAAGTGAAAATAGAGCTTCTATACACAAAGTACATGAGCTCAAAGTACATGTAGTCATGACTTATGCCCATGTTGAGCTTCAAGAGGTATTAAGACCTTCATAGCTCAGTTTAGGTTGCTATAATTGTGTAGTTTGCTTGCTTGATGTTAGGACATTGCCACACTGTTAATGAATTTTTGCAATCTAATATCTTTGATTAATAATGGTCTTTTCTAGAATGAAACATGGAGGTTCCGAACTACCCTCTATATTGCTATTGGGGTGGAGAAATTGTCCACAAAGATAGCGATATAACGTATAGGGGTGGGAATAAAAAATTTGTGTTTGTACATTCTGCGATGACATATTCACAAGTTCTGAACAAGCTATATGAAGAATTGAGTGTTGATCCTAGAGGTGTGGAGTTGAAGGTGGTTATGCGTTATCCTATGGCTGGGGCATATGTTGCAATTCCGTTAAATGACGACAACGCTGTTAGAGCTATGTGGATTGCTGTGACTCAGAGTTCTTCTGTTGCAATGCAATTGTTCATTGAACAAGTTCCAAAGGAGCCAGTTGTGCAAACTAACACTGGTTCCTTTCCGGGGATGGATTTTTTTGGTAGTGTGGATCAACCGTTTTCCACTGGTGTTCAAAGTGTGGGCATAGGGTCATTCACAAGAATGCTTGTTGATCCACATTATGTCAATGACCATCTCTCACAGTTTAGGTCTCCGGCCTCATCGCCTAATGTTGGAACCTCGACAAGCACACAACCACAAGGCATTCTTGATTCTCTTGACCCAAACAATGTTGATGTATTTGGCGATGCAGAGATGAATGACACTGATGAAGATGATGATGAAGAGGTAATTGAAGCTCGTGATAAGGCAATTAAAGGAAGCGCCCCCACTTCAGACTTCAATGAAGTGGCGCAAGTTGATCCTCGTTTGAATAACTCATGGATGTCTTGGTTAGGAAATGAGACATATAACAATGGGGGAGAATTTGAGGTTGGTCAGCAGTTTGACTCATTGCAACAACTGAAAGATGCTGTGAAATCTTACTCCATAGCTAGAAATCAAACAATTCGAGTTGTGGAGGCAGAGCCAGAGAAATATGTTGTTGAGTGCAAGAGGAAAGAACATACTTGTTTTGGGAATTAGATGATTTGGCAGCCATATACTGAGGCGGTGATGGATCGACTTCCGGAGATTTGTCGCTCAGACATGCACATTTGGCGTTCACGGGCACCTCTGATATGCTTTGACGTCGTTGAGTTCCACCTCCCAGACCGAGTCCTTCGTCAGTTCGGGTTAGACCAGCCGATCCCACAGGATGTAGACACGGACGTTGCTCTACACAGGAAGGATCGAAGGGGACAGCGTAATTGGGAGATTCGGCATTCGGACCATGTACACGAGTGGAGTCGACGAGAGGCATTAGTCGTCCAGGGATACCCGTTCACTGGGACTTCTTCCCCGGCCATGACAGAGTACATGGCTTGGTACCGTCGCATCACGAGACTGGTCATTACTCCACCTTCGCAGGAGCGCCCCCCGAGTCATTACCAGCCAGCTACCTCTGACCTCCTGCTTGTATGAACTTCACTTCATTTCAATCTAGTTCTTACGTTTTTGATTTCATTTTACTAACATTAAAACTACACTTAAATGTAGGCACATGCATTTGCTGATTTGCACGTCCAGCTATCGGGAGCTACTGAGACCATCTCCCACTTGCCACCAGAGACGGCTATACCATTTGCCATACAGACGATGCAGGGTTTTACATCATTTTGTGGCCAAACCTTGTCTAGGGTGGGGCAGTCACACCTTATTCAGCAGCCTCGACCGTCCACGTCTTCATCTTCTACTGTGCACACTATGCCGATCAGACCACCACCTCATCGTGGAGGCCATTCAGCACGTGCCTTCCGTCCACCGACTCCTTCTCAGCATACTATCATGACATCTCCTCCACTAGTGCATCGCCAGTATCAGAGAAACCGACGGCGTAGCAACACTACGTCTGGGGTTGGAGTTGGCCTGGATGACATTCCAGAGGAGACAGCTGCATCATCTTCATCGTCACCTCATGGGAAGAAGCAACGCCCGAGCTAAGTGTATATTTTGGAACTAAACTAATTTTTTTTGTAAATGCTTAGAATTGGATTTTGTTATATTTAATCAATTGAAAAATATTCGACTTTGCAATTTCGACTTCCTTAGATCTTCATAAACTTGTTATTTATGGTGGTTGTGTTGAAAATATGCTATATATCTCATGTTTTACAGGTACACAACTTGCAGGTTTTTTTTTTGAGTGATTATGCAAGTTTGAAAAAAAAACCAGTCCAGGGTAAACCGCTACTTCAAGTAGCGGTTTTTCAAAGTAAACCGCTACTTGAAGTAGCGGTTTTCCAAAATAAACCGCTACATAAAATAGCGGTTTTTTGTAAACAAACCGCTACTTCAAGTAGCGGTTTTAAACTAAGAAACCGCTACTTGAAGTGGCGGTTTATTGCAAAGAAACCGCTACTTCAAGTAGCGGTTTACCCTGGACCGGAAAAAAAAAAAAACCGGTTTTTTAACCAGTGCTTACGTGGACGGTAGAATGGGAAAACTTAAAACTTTGGCTGCAATTTGGGAATTGCGGTTCTTCTTGACTTTAATTTGGGAAAGAGCTCTTAATGTTAATCCCCTTATATAACTCTAACCCAAGTTGGGCGTGAATTGTTTCTCTAAAGTGGGGTAATTAACGGTTAACACAACTACTAATGTTGGGTTAACGTCAAAGGATACGGTTGAATAAACACCTTAAGTTGGAGACTTGGAGGACATGTCTTGTAAATTTTACAAAAATGGACACAACTTCAATAACCACGGGGGCATAACTTAGAAAAAACTTTTTTTTTTATAGTAGATTTGCATCAATTACAAATACAGAGTACCTAAGCCAGATTGACCTAGAGTTTATGTTTTTACCTACTTCGTAGCAAAAAAAGGGTATTGAATAACAAATGCGGAGTAACCCGTAGCAAACAGTAAATAAAACCCCGAATCTATTAACTAATATTAAAACAAGACATTGCTGACATTATCCATTCTCTAAATTGTACACATGTCACTCTGACATTAAAAATTTTCCCGCCAAATTGTTATGATGATGACAATAGGTTTTTTTTTTTCACTACCTTTGTTTTTTATGTAATAAACTTTTCATATGCTTTATCATTTGTCCATACTGTGTTGTTTTTTTTACCGATATGTTCATATGCCAATGTATTTACGAAGTAGAAAACTATATTTCTCCGTATTATAAACAAATCAGTGTTTGTTTAAAAACCGTGCATAGCAAAGTAACTAAACTAGTTTGCATATAAGTAAGAAGAGAATTTTGGGTTTTGTAAAGAATTTCTTCCGCGCGGAGTGGTAACTGGCAGCAATGTCTGAGATTGATCAGCCGGAGGAACCTCAGTCATCGCGTCCTCTTACTATCTACGAAAGACTCGACAAAAATTGACGAGGCGAAGGTTTTTTTTCTTTCAATTTTTATCAATTTCTCGTTTTTTCTTATATAATTGTCAAGTCAATTGTATATCTGAATACAAAAATCGAATGTTGTTTTGTCTGGATTATTGTTAACAATTTGATATTTCTATTAACAAAACATTGTTGCAATTTAGTGTTAGTTTGATTTTACTGCTGTTATTTGTTTAATTGTTGAATTTGTTCTCGTTGACATAGAATTCTGAAGAATATTTTGATATATAATGAACACTAGGACATTAGTTGCTTTGTAAAATAAGATAATAAGGTACAATGCTCATATTGTTTAGTGATTTTTTATATATGCACCTTATTCTTAATTCTATGCACATTGGTACAAAATTAATAGTCGCCTATACTATTGTCAGATTACCGGTTAAAAAATGTTAAATTACTTTGATTAGAAACTGATAATGGTTAGATTTCTGAACATTACCCCTTTAAATGAAGAGAGGATGGTAATTACAGTAGACAGACGGCATTTTAGTGAATTCGTGGTGAATTTTAAGCACGGAGGGTTGAGACGGGGGATAAACTGTGTTGTATCCTGACTGAAAGAGTATAGTTTATCTGAAAGTATGTTTTTGTATAGAGATGTACATGACTCAAAGTCTCGCAGTGAGCCACTTAAGCTGGAATCATGCTGCCAAATTAACTGGTTAAAGTGTGTGTATTATGTGAATTGTATAATCGCTATTTTGTAATTGAACAATGAGCCTGTATATATATTTATGATATAAAGTTATACTTTATTAATCTATTCATCATGTACAAATTTTCTTTGTTAACACAGTTTTATTTTCATTGGCAGCGACAATAAAAACAAAAGTTGGTCCTTTGAAGTTTAATAAAAAGCCAAAATATGTAGGCGGTATGTTTTATGCTCTTTACTATATAATCTGTTCATGTCTATTATTATATTGTACATGATATCAAATGATTGCTTTAAGAATGTATAGATGGTCTTATCGTTAGTTTGATTCTTTCAAAGGAATTTCGTGACTGCAAATATCCAATCTTATTTCTTAATGCAAAATTGGCCGCAACACTCTCTGAAGTATCGCTTAGGTGCACTGAGCACCCTGAACTTTGCGTAGTAGCCAAAACACCACCAACTATGGTGTTAGGTGCAACGCGTGCCATAAATGAAAATTTCCGGCAACTTATTTCACCGGGAGGAGGTGAATCTTCACTCTCTAGAACAGTTATGTAGTCTTCCATCCACTTAGCACGCATGGATTCACCTCCTCCGATGAAATAAGTGGCCGAAAATTTTCATTTAAGGCACACGTCGCACCTAACACCATAGTTGGTGGTGTTTTGGCTACTACGCATAGTTCAGGGTGCTCAGTGCACCTAAGCCATAGTTCAAGGGGTGTTGCGGCCAATTTTGCCTTTTAAATTTGGACGCAGACAAGTATTTTGGATTTGTTTGTTGGGGCATACTCTTGTAGTCCTGTATAATCGTGTTTGAATAATTAGTAAAGGACTAAAGGAGGAATGCATTGATCCAGGAACTCTAAAATCTAGAGATTGTAGCTATACACAAGTTTTGAGGAATAGTAGAAAACTGGCAATATATGGTCTTATTTATGCTCTTTTTTCACACATTTCTGCAGTACAATGGAGGCTATAAGTAGTCATTGTACACTCGCCATTGCAAATATGGATTAATTTAAAGAAATAAAATGCTACACATCTCTAATTGTGTGGTTGGGTTAATAGAGATTTTACTGACCTATTGATGAGTGACGCTATATTAAATATGCTCATTCTTGTAGAACTTGAGTTTTTCAATTGAGCATTCTTTCCTTGTTGTCGATTGTTACCATTTGTTTGGGGCCAATATTGAATTCATTTCACTTTCAACAGGATTGCGAAATAATGGAGAGTTTTGTACCTTGGATGAAGGTGACTATTATAGTCGAATTGCAAGATCTGTTGCTTTTAGAGTTGCGCCATCTGTTGTTGCACTGACATCTTTCGTAGGTATGCTTGGGCATATGCCTATTAATTAATTCTAAGAATCTGTTTAGCAGATTTGTAAATGAATTTTGGCAAATTTGTTATTTTATTACAGGAGAAAAGTTCCGTTTTAGTTGCTCAGGATTTTTCATAGAGTGGAATGATATGTTTGGAACGATCTTAACTTCTGCTAGTCTCTTCATAGGATATAAGGATACCATGCCTACCATTACCAATGTTACGGTTAGTCTTATTACTTATAGTGTTCATGCCTTGTTTTTTATGCTTGTGGAATATGTAGCACTTTACCACTCCTACAAGATGTATACTCCTGAATGTTTTTTCTTTGCTTGGAGATTAGTAATGAAACATTATGGTTGATACTTGATAGTATAAAATTTAGTAGTATTTGCAATTTCAGTAACAACATGCTAAATTGGTGTATGGTGGGTGTTATATTGTGCATCTCCATGATCACAGTGTGGAATGTGACTACAAATTAGAAACGTACACTTTGTCTTAAATAGCTAATGTTATATTGTTGTTGAGTGCATAACCCACTCAGTTCCTGTCCTTTTTCTTTGTGACCAGCATACAAGCAACCCCCAGTCTAACCCCAGTGCGAACCTCGAAGCATCCTTTTGGCTTCACCCAATCTCTATTCCGATTCTTCCTCTTGAGCGATACACAGTCAATTACTTAACAAAAATGCCACCCCTTTGGTTGATGTTTCTTTGCTAAGCTTTATAAAAGCGTTTATTAAAGTAGATGAAAAGGATTTAAGCCTTTGAACTCATGAAGATACTAAATTGTTTTTTTTTTTTGGTTCAAATAAGGGTTGTTTTTTTTTCTCTTGGGAGCACCTCTTACGATTTACATAGCCCATTAATATTGTTTGACCCATGCATGTTTTTCGTACACTTCTTTGTAGTGGCATCCTCAACCAAGATTTTTCCTCAACCCTACATTAGCAGTGGTGGCTTGTCATACTATGCTGACATTTTTTAACAATTAACTTCTGATGATGGTGGTGTTGCTTGGTGGCGTCCTCTTCATTGCTTCTATGCCTCTCCATGTACCCTTAAGATTTTACCCAAAGGTCTTTGTCTATTAGTTTCCTAAAAGTTGCTTATGATTTCTAACCTTCTTTTGGTGGAGCACCCTTCTCCTGTGCTAGGTCTAATTGGCATAGCAACACTATTGTATTGAAAACCACTCCCTCCATTCCAAATTACAATATACTGACCCCATATTCTTATTTGGCATGTCCTAATTTACTTGCCTCGTTTCTTGTATAGGAAAATTTTCTCTCCTTTTCTATTGATTTGGGTCCCACTCCTTCACTCACCTTCCCATTTATTACTCTGCTTTTCCACTTGTATAAAGTCCAGTACAAGTAAATTCGAACGAAGAGAGTAGTTGAAATGTTTTCTGTAGGTGCTTTTATTGTCTGATTTTAGTTTGGCACATTTTACAACGAACAACCTTGACCATTAGTATCTTAAATTATTTATAGGTAGGAATTGTTAAAAGTTGACATTTTGATGATATCATGATATAGATCGAGACAAATTTTATAACCTGTTACATTGTATAATTTTATAACCTCAAACGCCATCGCTGAACATGGCCTATGACAACTTAAAAAATGCTCTTATGAGCTGATTGAATCATTTTAACAATGTTTTTTTTGTTGATCTTTTTGTTATATGTGATACTTGTAGTATGTAGTTTTTTGAGGATTGAATAAAACTTGCCGCACATTGATGCTTGTGAATGTTGCAATTAAATACTGTTATAAAGAATCAAGGAAGTGTTTGCAGTTGTTGAGTGGTGTGTAATGGGAATTTACCATCTCAGTCTAATGTCTTGGTCCGTGCTAACAGATAACTAAGTTTTCTAAGTGTGTACATGTAAAGTGGTGTATTAAAATATATTTATTATTTGAAGGGTATGTTGCATGGTCATACGCGGTTTAAATACTAATAAAGGTTAGGACCATTTATTTAAGTTAATTGTGTGCCATTGAATTAAACTAAAATGTACAGCCATGGTTAAGCATAGAGAGATAACTTCAAGCCGATGCTGTTTATTGTTTCAGGTTGAAGTACATTTGCCCAATCGTAAAACAGTGCCTGGTTCCATTTCACATGCTGATCTTCATCACAACATTGCCATTCTTATGGTGCCATCTGTTCCTAAACTTCGTGTTGCCACTCTTCTGCCTGATTTTGAGCTGCTTACTCCTGGGAAGAGTGTGGTAGCCCTTGGTCGACTTGCTAGCTCGTACAATTTGCTGGCTGCTCAGGGAGAAGTTTTGCTCAAAGACCACGATTTAGATGATGATGTTTTGCCTACAGGCTGCTAATTTCACGTGTAAGTGGCTGTTTATACCACATGGTTCCTTAATAAACCTAGAGAACTGCTTCTTCCATTTAATTTTGATTCTTTTTTTTTTTATTTTTTTTTTTAATTAATGCTCCCTAATTTGAAAACCATATTGGTGATGACTTATAGAACAAAGGTTATTTAAGATAATTAACATCTTTTTTTTTTGGTAACTGTTTCAAATTGATGTTAACTGAAGCATTTTATAGTGTTTGACTAAAACAGACTTCTTGTTTCATGTGTCCATTAGTTGCAACTTCTTGTTTCATGTGTCCATTAGTTGCACATAGCATCGAGTGTCTCTGACAATAAACCCTAGATTGTGACTTATTGGTTCACATCGCTTGTAGCTGCATATAATCAACTGGCATAGGGCTACAGATTCTTACAAACACTAAACCATCAGACTGAACTTTCTTTGGATTAAGGTCAGAGGTTCTGAATCAAAAATTTTAGGCATGAGTGCAAATTCATTCTTATTCTTAGCTTTGTAATGCTTATTCTATTCAAAGCATGGATCGTGCACCCATTTTAGAATGGCACCCCTCAAAACATAGAAAGCGAGTATCCGAAAGGACATATAGGTTCAATTCATAGAACATGAACCCTAAAAAGCGTAAAAGCTAAAAAATAAAAACATGAACTCAAAAGAACATAAGGGGTAAAACAAAAAGCATGAACTCAAAACCAAATATGGGTTAAAGCAAGTGAACATGAACTCGAAAGATTTAAAGAACATTCTATCCAAGTACAAAAAACATATTGTTTATATCCAAGTAGCATATTTAATCTCCATTCATTAAAGAGCATATTTCATAAAGTAAATTACATAGAATACATTTAGCTTAGGCCCAAAGAACATACAACTCATAAAAAAAAAAAAAAAATGTTCAATTCTTGTTCAACAATTAAAGAAGGATTGTAATGAGAAAGCACATATGTTAAAACTTAAAAGAACATCCTTTATAATCAGATGAACATCATATTCAACCTTATATCACAGTACAAAACCGGAATAGAAGTACTAAAGTATATAAACCTGAAATAAATTCTTTCAATAATGAGTTCTTCAATTTCATCTTCCTATTATTAAATTCATTGACTATAATCAACTCCTAAATTGCTTTGAAATTCATAATTTCTAAAATAAATCTCTTACAATGATATTTTCAAACCCTAGTATTGCATTCTCTTCCTAAAATTTGCAAAAATATACTTTACAAGTTAGAATTGGAAATTTATAACCTTAATTTTGAATTTTTCAACAGTTGCCAGCAAAAATTGTGTGCACAATGAGAATCGTGCATGCCGGTGTATAATCTAATTTATATGAATCTTGTGTGGTGCTTATTGTATGGGTTCATACTTTATAGCATGGTTAATATTTGTCTTCATTGTGATGATATAATTTACAGGTGCCTGTTCACATTTAATGTGGGAAATATAAGATGAGGTCATATATTTGGTTATAATGATCTTTGAAAGCCTTTGCCTATAGTGGATTTGTGGGGTGAATGAAGGTTGTAAAGTTAGTTTTTTTGAGTTAAGATACCAATGGGGTTTATCTTTTTAATTTTTTCACCTTTTGGGATGTCAGTCCTTTTTTTTTTTTCTCCACCTTTTAGGACCTATAGTTAACTATCCAGCTAGTTAACCCATCTTTAACTCACCTGAAAAAAATATCAGTCTCTTCATTTATTATTTGCCAACAAAAAAAATGAGTCCCTTCATAAAAATTCTGTCAATTCCAAAAAAAAACCGAAACCCTCATCCTTTCAGCCACCTTGTAACCCACCCCAAAACGCTTATCACCTCAGCCACCACGTTATACACCGCGAACTCCTAAAACCCACCTTGAATATTTCTGGGTTTTGTTTTGAGGGAGGATGGGTGGGGGTTCTCTTGGAGGTGGGTGGGGGGTTTTCGACTGAGGTGGGTGGATTTCGACGGAGATTCATTGGATATCAAAATTACTGACCATTAATTTCAAGTTTTGATAAAAGAGGGTGGCTGGTGGGGCAGGTGGAGATTGACGATGAGGGAATGGGGGAGAAAGGGTGAGGAAGGAGTGGGGGGTGCGGGGAAGGGGCGAGGGCAGTGGAGGGGGGGCTGATTGTGGGTTATGAATTGGTAGTGGGTTGTGTTGGTGGTGTGTGAGGGGGGTTGGTTGCTCTGGTGTTGGCCGGAAGTTATGGAGGTAAGGGGAAATGAAAAAATAAATGTTTTTTTAAAAAAGTTTTTTAAAAAAAATTAGACCAATCAAAATGTGACACATGGCAAGGTAACCTGTTGTTGTAAGTTGATGACAGGTTTGGCTTAATAAAAAAGAATGGGGGTAAAGCTTGGATTATTGTAGAATAATTAAAATATTTTTATTAAAATAAATCGGCCAAAGGTTGGATTATTTAAATCAAATTTTCCTAATATAAAAAGGCTACGGAGTAAAAAATCAGAGAAATAACACAATAATAATCAATAAAACTAAGAAATCCATGGTAAAAACAAAATGAAGAAAAATTAGCAATAAAATACAATTGAAATTTAATTTTAGTTTACTTCACAAGAACAAAGTAAAGAAATGGACTGAAATATATACTCCTAATTGCAGTAATTTAATTAAATACGGGATAATACTTACAAGACGGTGAAAATTACTGGGTAAAATGAGAATGAAACGAGCAAAATGAAAATTCTTCCAGTAAATTTTTTCTTCCCCAGATATAAAATTCCTGCAGTCCATTGTTTGTAGTGAAATGTTGTTGAACAAAGAGAAATACCACCCTATTTACAAATTAGGCAGCAATATACCTTTTGGGGACTAATAGGGGACTGTCTTTTTTAATAGGGGAGTATCTTTTTTTTGGATGACTTTTTAGGGGACTTAAGTTATTTAACTAAGGGACTATATTTTTAACTCACGCACAATTAAATTTTGGCCGGAAAGGCGGAAAGTACACTTGAGGTCCCAAAAGGTGAAAAAAATACCGAGGTCCCAAAAGGTGAAAAAATTAAAAAGATAGACACCAATGTTATACTTAACTCTAGTTTTTTGGGTTAGTCATAGGTCTATTGAGAAAAGACTTTGGCTTTAGTTGTGCAGATAAAGCATTGGATGGATGATGATGTCATTACTTTTTATATGTTTTGATAGAAACTTCATTTTTTTTTTTTTTTTTTTTGGAATTGGAGGGGGGGGGGGGGGGGGGGAGTGAATGATATAAGGTTGATTTCTCTTAATAATCCTGTGGAAATGTTATTCTATGTTGCTTTATGGTCTGATTTTAATGAAAATAGGATAGTACATTTATAACAGATAACTTATCAATTTGTATTATGTTGTTGTTCAATATACTTTCAGTCTATATTTACCAAGCTGTAATGATGATTTATTTTAAATACTTACAAAGTATTTACATTTGTTTTGTGTGTTTTTTGATGAAGTGCAATGGTGTTTTCGGGACATTTGCTTACCTCCTTTTTCTATGTACTAGTATGGCGTTGGGGGACCTCTTGTTGACATCGCTTCGGGATCAGTTATTGGAATGAATTTCACTGATGCAAACTGTTTTGTTTTTCTTCCCAATACCATTTTGCTGAGATGCTTGAAGCACTTCAAAAGTTATGGGTATGTCATTGTTGGTTTTTCCTCTCTACATGATTTTGTTTTCCTTCCAAACCTTATACCTGCTTTATTTTGTTCGATATTATTTTAGTCAATCATTGAAAAATTAACTAGTTGATGGCTGACAGTATCTCTTATTCAAGTGGTTAATTTTTAAGTGATTGAATTAAATTACGTAATAGACATTATTCTCTTGCATCCTCACATTTAATTTGTTGAAATATGATGTAAGTTTGGCATATTTTATGTTTTTAAATAAAAATTCTTCTTTAATGTATTTTATTTAGTTTTTTTCCCCTGATGTGTTTTTTTTTTTTAATTAATATCTTAGCTCTCATCAACTCTCCTACCTTCTCCACTTTAATTATTTGGTTGTCATTTCTCTATGTACTCTCTTTTTTATATTAATTATTTAAGTGACACACTTTCCTTATTCTAACTCATTAGAGGACGGAATGACAAATATATGGTCAATTTTTTTTTTTTTTTACATATATTATATGAATTTTAACATCCCATACCCGTGTCCCTTATTATGAGATAAACGCTTTTCCGTATCCGTTTCGTACTCAAATATGTGTCAGTACCCGTTCTTGTGCAACCTACGATATAACTATAAATGGTCCAACATTATCTCCAAAATAACTAATACTTCTGTCATGAAATTAATTGAGTGTCATGCTTTTAATTTGTTGATAACCTTATATGAAACAGTGGTTAATATTGCAATTCTTGGGCCATGCATGCTTAAAAATATCCTTTATGTTTCAGATTATCTTAATAATTTTTGTTTTCCACTCACATTTTATTTTGGAGGTAGTGATTTCTTCTAAACAATGTCTTTTTATATCAGAAATTTAGAATCCACATTGTAGTGTTGACTTTGTACGCTTTGTATGGATAGCAAAGAAGGGAGGATAGGAAGAGGATGGAAAAAGGAGAACGGGAGGGAGGAGAAAGGGAGGGGAAAGGTGAGCTCTATTTTCCATCCAAGTCGCCAATTTTAGAGGGATTATGCTTATGAGATAGAAAGGGAATATGGATCCCTCCCTCTCCTTCCCTTTCCTTCCCCCAATCCTTTACCCAAACAAGAGAAATTGTTCTCTCCACTTTCTCTTCTCTTCTTTTTCTTCCATTTCCTTCTATTTAAACAATGAGCATATTTGAATTTCATGCCAACTTCAGTATAAGCCTCTACCATTATATGTATGCTTTAGAAAATGACTTCTGTAGTGATATGTACCGATTTTGCAGGAGAATTGTTCGACCTTGGCTGGGAATGAGAACTCGAATCCTTGATTCTTTGAAAATGGCCCGGCTTGAAACAATATACCAGAAATTTCCTGATATTAATGGGGTATTTGTAGAGAAGGTAATTTTATTTAATTGATTGATACGAATTGGATGTACACCTTGACCTATCACCTACAGGTTACACCATCTAGTTGTGGAATCCATAGTGGTCTTTGCTTTTTAATATATCATCTGTTGTTGAATCCAATCTTACATTTGGATAATCATATGCTTGCATTGCTGTATATGCTATATGATCATGTTCCAATGTGATGTTTACAATTGAAGGATGTCTTTTTTCGGTCCTTACCTCGTTGCACGCTTTCTTGAAACTGCAATGGAGAATGCCGTATTTTACAACTCTGGAGAATAGCTCAATTGTTGTGTTCAGGGTTCCTTTCAATACAATTTGAGGCCTTCGTTTAACATTCAAACTACTGGACTTATATCACGCTTATAATAACTGTCCTCAATGTGGAATCTTATAAAGTAAACACCTTCCAGGTAACAGAGGGATCCCCAGCAGATTCTGCGGGAGTTCGTCCCGGTGATATTGTGACTCATTGCGATGAAATTCCTGTGTGCTCTCCCCTTGAGGTAAATACCATTTATTTACCATCATGTTGTTGAAGCAAGTCTCTTTAGTCTTTATACACATATCATAATCTGTTTTTTACTAGTACATTATATTTTTAGAAAATATGGTAGGAATAATCCCAAGTTTCCCTTTTCTCTAAAAACTCCCACATATTGATGAACTAATCTCAAGTTCATGGGTGTCGTTCCAAAATGGCTTTAAGCAATTTGTAACCTGTTGAACATTCTAAATTTTTATTTACTTATTTATTTATTTGTTTATTTATTTTTATCTCTCTCTCTCTCTCTCTCTCCATTGTTTTATATAGTATGAGAAGACTTGAATTTTATTCATAAGGGAGTACAGTATACTTGTATAAGTATGCCGGTTAGGCAAATTCAGGGAGTTTAGTAGCAGACTAATCAGTGTATAAAAAGGCGCACCTAGGTGCTAAGCAATTAGGGTAGAGCAGTTTTTTTTTTTTTTTCTCTCTAGGCAATCTTTATTGCTTCATTGCGCCTTGTGCTCTTAAATACATTGAGACTAATCAATAACCTGATAAGTTTAAGCTAGAACACAGTCCCAACATGCTACGAATTAGCTCACATGGAGACCAAAACGAAGAATAAGGATTGAAGAGAGATTAAGGGATGAAGAAGAGAGATTAAGAAAATATAAGATATGACTAAATTAATGCTAACCAAGGTGATTAATCACCAATAAGCTATGAATTGATATAGAGAAGAGGTCCCCTCAAAAATTATACTACCTTCGTTCAATTTATTTGTAGGGATGTGACATTTACCAACATCTAGATAAAATTTGTTTGTGAGTGTTAATGGAGTGAGAAAAGTAAAGTTGCAGTGATGAGGAGAGACATAGAAATAAATGACTAGTAAAAAAATGAAAGAAAACCTTTTGTTGCAAATAATTTGTAGTATCCACTTATGGTAAATACAACAACAAAGCCTTAGTTCCAAAATCAATCAATCAATCAATCAAAGCCTTAATCCCAAAAGTGGGGTCGGCTACATGAACCAAATTTGATTATTCCGTGTAGTCATCGACATAAATCTTCCTCCTCCATCTCTTACGATCCAATGCTTCATCCTCATGCAAATTCATATACTTTATATCCTTCCTAACTCCTTCCAACCAAGTCATTTTCGGTCTCCCTCTCCTTCGTTTAACCCCTCTATGGTCCCACTCTTTCAGTCTTCGAACCGGTGCACCCTTGGTTCTCCGTCGTACATGCCTAAACCAATGCAGGCGATTTTTCCTTAATTTATTTGCAATGCCTATCACACCTACTTTCTTGCGAATAACCTCATTTATGATTCTATCTTTTAGAGTGTTCCCACACATCCACCTTAACATGCGCATATCCGTAACCTCCATCTTTTTAATGTGCTCCTTCTTAGAAGACCAATATTCTGTACCATAGAGCAACATTGGTCTTGTAAAGTTTTCCCTACAACTATAAGGGAATGCTCCGGTCACATAAAACTCCCATGGACGCTCTCCATTTAAGCCACCCCGACTTAATCCTGTGGGCCACGTCTTGGTCAATGTCACCATTCTTTTGGATGATCAACCCAAGATACTTAAAACATTCACTCATGGTCAAATCCTTTCCATCCAAACTCACCACTTCATTGCTTGTCCCCCTTTGAGTACCAAAGCGACATACCAAATATTCAATCTTACTCCGACTTAGCTCAAACCCTCTAGATTCCAATCTTTGTCTCCATTGCTCTAACTTGGCATTAACACCATCTTTAGTTTCATCCACCAAAACGATATCATCCGCGAACAACATACACCATGGAACCTTATCTTGTATTGGTCTAGTTACTTCATCTAGAAACGTTACAAAAAGAAAAGGGTTTAATGCAGACCCTTGATGCAATCCATGGAGCCTTAGTTCCAAAATGTTGCAAATAAATTGAAATGGAGGTTGTATCATGGAAGGGGATATTTTTGGGATTAGGGAAAAGCTCTATAATTGAGCTAATTAGAGAGAGATAATCATGTTGAATATTGCTGAATGTTTTGGGTTATCTTTGGAAAGCTAAATTGGGATAGAGTCCACCTCTCAAAAGTGGAATTATTATACAAAAGTACTGTAATTCAGTTTATTAATGAAAATTCATCATTTTCTTCCTATTTTCTACCATATACAATGTTTATGCTATGTTACTAGATAGCTAATGGTATTATTGCCCTAAATTGGTATTAGGGCCTTAGGGTATAGGGGTATTTTAAGGAGTAGAGTTACAATAATTTGCTAGCAAAAGTTAATCTGTTTGTTGTTACATAAAAGCTCTATAAGTAGAGCTAGTTAGAGAGAGATAATCATGTTGAATATTGATGACCAAATAGAAAGACTAATCTTGTATCAGAACTTGCTCTAGAATAGAATTTATTGAGTGCAGCTGCTAGTCGACCGCTGTGGAGAAATACATGTTTCAGCTTTGTATTCAGTAGAAGATTGAGGTAGGAAACTTTGCTTCTTTAAGTTCCATGTTATCAATGGTTGACTGAGAAACATAAATTAACCCATTGTTTATCTGTGATCATCGTTTATGCGTGATCATCCTTCTGGCAGCCCTCTCTGCATCCGGAAAAGTTTGGAGTGAGTGCAGAGTCATGAAAAATTGTGATTTCTTTGTCCAATCAATCAGCTAAGTAGCGCAGTAAATGCTTCAAGGCTGTCCAATGAGTGATATGTAGTTTATGCATTAATTGAGATAACCAATTTACCACCGATGCATTATCTGGACAATTAGTAAGTATGTAGGTTTCCTACTTCCTACTTCAGCTTGGTAGTCAGAAGGGTTGTATGTTGATTTCACAAAATGATTTGAGCAGTGTTAGAAAAGGCGCACCTAGGCGCTGAGACGGAAGGCGTTAGGGTCATGCCCCTTTTGTTGTCCAGGCAAAGCGATTTTGATGAGGCGCACCCCCGGAGGCGCCAAAAGATTTTTTCAGAATGCTTTTTTTTATTGTTTATTATATGCACCTTTCTTCTTTGAGGCGCACAAAGGCACACCTTAGGCGCAGGGAATTTGAATTGCCTTGGTGCCCTTGAGCCTTTTTATACATTGATTTTGAGAGCTGAGTATTGACATTCATTGGCAATTTGGCATAGCCTGACAACAATAATCATCTAGATACAAGCTATCTACAACTTAGTCAAGAAGATAAGCTGAGACTAAGTCTCAACATCATCTTTCCTTACATGTCTCTGCTCCTTTACTGCACACCAATACTAGTCGCTTTCTGCTACCTGTGCACTGCTACTACCTTTGGCAAGGCGGAGGAGAGAAAATGGGGCAAAGCTGCAAAGATTCGGTATGTAATGGATGTTTTGTAGAGATGTCTTCATAGATTACTTTGAGAAAACTAATTAGAATACAGGGAAATGCATGTTGGGACTGGAAGAGAAGCTGAATGTTTTGGAAATGGGTGGGTGGAGACACAGATTATTTGTTACCATTTGGATTTTTATGAGGTTTTTGCTTACCATTAAGGAGGTCTCTTAACCGCTGGATGACTACTTTAGCAGTTGAACAAGGAGCAGGTACCAATCAGAGTAACTTCTGTTTGGTGTTGCTGCTGGTTGTTGCTATAGTAGGCCGAGGGGGTCAATAATGGAGGTGGGTAAAAAGAAAAGGGGCGTGGGGAGTTGGAGTAGATTGTTTTAGGACTTTTTTCTTGAAAATAAGTATAAGAAAGAAAGTACACAATTTTGAGGCAAATAGTATGTGACGTGTGTACTTGCTTAAATAACTAATTATGCTTTGGGAAGAGTGGAAGACATCTCATAGATTTGGTATTATTCGCACTTAATCAAACAGTGAGACTATCTAAATAAGGATAATTGAAGTTGGTATTATTCTTGTCAAAAATTATATTTTTGGCTGAATCATCTCTGTGAATACCTTATGTTCATTGTTTAAAGATTTGTTTTGTTCTTGAAATCATTGCTTGATGGATTACTTCATGAATAATCTGTCTCCATCTTGATACGCCATATTTACTGCATAATTTTTTCTTTGGTTTCAGTTTGCTGAAGTACTGTTTGATAAAGCTGAGAACTCTATGGAGCTTGGGTGTGATAGGGAAGTGATGATAATGCAAATAAGAGACAGGCAATTGCTGTTGAGGTCAATATTAATTCTGGTTTCTGAGGATTTCATATTTACTATATATTTTTGTATATCTATTTGATATTAATTTTATTTTTTTATATTTTTTTTAATTTTTGTTTGGGGGAAATATTGGAATTTCAGGTGGTTATAAGAAGGGAAAGCTGTGGTTCCGATCTGGTCAAAAGTATCGTTATTGACAGGCTTACCCTACCGGAAATCAATCGGTATGTTTACCCTGCTTTTCTTACACCAAACTGGCACACTATTATGTTGTTTTCGGAAAGCAATGGAGGAGAGAGGGGTAGGGAAGACTAGAAGAGAATGAGAGGCAAGTGCATGTGTAGGGTAGTGTAAAGGAGAAATGGGTCTGCATTATCTGATCTTATCTCCATTTCTTTTCAGTTTAAGAAATATGGGAGAAATGGGTCTGCATTATCTGATCTTATCTCCATTTCTTTTCAGTTTAAGAAATATTGGGTGTATTCTAAGGGAAGAAATTTGCGTTCCTCCATTACTCTTGCTCTGATTCATATCCAATATATGGATACATCAGTATTCCAATTTCTTCCATTTTTTTGAAGGCGAAATTTTGTATGGGACGAGATGGAATTGCTATAATTTCTGGGGGACTGGAGTAACTTTTCTATTCGAAGAGATGATTTCTTGATTTAGGATATAATTAGATTCCATGCTATGATTTATCATAAGTCTGTCTCACCAATCCACTGAAGCAACTAATACTTGTTCTTAAAATTCTCTCATCTGAACATGATTAAAGGTTTAAAATACGGAGCATTTTATTATCGTATGAACTTGTGGAACTTCATCATCGAATGGACAGTTTCTGCAGGTTCAAATTCTAACCTTATTATACATTACCTTTTTCTAAAATCTCACCTATCACAAAATCACAATCATAATACATCAACAATGTAGGCCAATTTAGAAAGTGCTCATAAAATCTCTATTATAAGTCAACTGTTGACCTTTTTGATGTCCAACCAAATAGATACTTCCTCCGTTATTCATCCTCATTTGATAATTATGCATGATAATAAACATAGCTAAGTTGTCTTATAAAATTGTTTCAATATATGTTTTTCAAATATATAATTTATATAATTAATTAATTATACACAATTAAAGATATAAAAGGTCAATGTTGTGCATGGTAAACATCAAGGAAGTAGAATACCTTTCTAATTACTTTTAAGATTTTACTTCGTGGGAGTATGTCCATGATGACTAATGTAATATGAGTTGTTAGTTATTTTATACATTTTTGTTTAAATTAGAAGCAATTAAGCTTCATATCTTATACCCCCTTTATTCTTAATTTTTGTCATATTTGATTTTTCATGGTTTTCAAGCCTGTCTTAAAACGTTTATAGCTCAATATTTTAGATGAGTAAAAATTATTAATAAAAAAATAAATTAATATATAATGAGATAATGATCTCACACGAGATAGGAATATATTATATCTTAAGTAGATGACGGGGTTTTGATGGTAATTTCTTTTAATAAAAAATAAATAAAAATAAATCCAAATATTTGTAATAGGACAAATTATAAAAAAAAAAAAAAAAAAAAGGATGGAAAATGCACCTTGTTATAACTTCCTCATAGATTTTAGGGTTCGAGAAGCCTACAAACTCAAGCTTAGAATTAGAAGCTTATAACTCATTTTCAATTTTTCACCCAAGATCCAATCTTTTTTTTAATTTTAACTTCATTCAACACATTATTAAATAGTTTATTTGCTCTAATGTAAAAGCTTCCCTGTTATAGATCATTTTACTGCCCTTACAGGTATGTTACCTCCAATTCAAGTATCTTCATTATGTGCATATTTGACTAATTTAATAATAATGATACCTTAGTTTAATTAAAATCTATGAAATGAGTAGCTAAATAATGCCATTTGTCTTCTAATTTTGTTTATCCTTTCTACTCGTAAATGTATATGGAGCGTTCTAAAAATAAAAAGTTTGTCCTTTTCATAGACAATGTAGATATGAATTGCTTGAAACCAATTTGACCATTTGTAACTGTATTTTTGGTTGAAATGGAATATTTTGGAAAACCAAAGCCTAAAGAATAATAGGGTTTGTGGTGTTATTTTTTTGAATGTTAATTTTGTTGTTATGGGATTTATTGAATTATTGTTGCCTTTTAACTGTATAAGTAACAGTGCGATGGGATTATGCATAAAACCCTCCAAAAAAATTGTAAGTTCTGGTAATACTGAAGCCTTGAAAGGAAAACTGGTTGACCAACATTGGCTCTTGAATTAAATTTTGTCATATTGATCACAATAATAATAGTAGACCCTAATAAAAGGGTCTTCAATTAAGACACAGTGTAATAAACTAAATATTGACAACATTTTATACACCAAAATCATATATATATATTTTACGAATCTAAACTGGTTCAATATTGAAAATTATGTTATGACAGTGCCATAGATTTCATTCGGGTTGAAAGTTGAGTGCTGCACAAAAAATTTACCAATCTTGCATCCAAGCTAATATCCGGTACATCACTCTTAGTTACACCAAGGATGAACATCTCTGTCGTAGTTATCTGTTATGACATATATTGATAGGATCTCCTAAGTTTCCTTTCCTCATTTATGTACCAAACAGGCTATCCTAAATTTGCCAAGATTGCATTCAAATCATCTCTTCGACCTTGAAAACTTTCTGAACCAACTTGATTTTTCTCATTGAATAAGGGTGCGCCATAAGATCCTGAACCAAACAGCGGCATCCAATACTCCACAGACTCTTTGGGTGAACGAAAATCAAGATACCTTGTTGGCTGCCTGCAAAAACAGCATATCTATGTTTATAGTACATTCGAGCTGAGTGATTGTATACGTGCAGCCGTGCAGATGCAAATAGGATTAAATGGTTATTAGAAACTCACGAGACGTATCCCGTGGTCAAGGAAGATGGCAAAATGTAATCTACCAAATGTAATGTTCTCACTGAATTCAACCATCGGAACACCTTGGTGCAAGTCGTTAACTTCCACTGCCAAAACTGCAAGATCATCCTCAATGCTTCCTCCCATAAAAAAATAAATATCACTTCAATACTCAACTTGGCACTAATTTCATCCCCTTTTTCTTGCAGTTGTTCCTCTGTGATGCCAGGAATGATTAATGTCGATTGATATGCACAGGTCAATATCAATGCTATGGAATTTTTAAAGATGACAACCCCAGTAGTATAATGGTCGTTGTTGACACGAAATTTTGTTAATTATTAGGTGTCAGATATATGTAAATAAGAAGATAATATCAAAAAATAAGATATTTATCTTCAAGATCTCGTAGAATATTTGATAGTTATCTTGTTTACTACTCAACAATATTCTATATAAAGAGAGTCGCTTGTAGGGTTTAATTAGGCTCGGATGGAACAAGGCACAAAGACCCCATCTCCTCCCTACTACCAAACACTGTAGGTACAAGTATGGATTAAGCCGACAAGGCCCCGTACTACAAACAAATATCAAGACTCAAACCCTTTGGAGAGGGAATTAAGAGATCTGCGAGAGTTGTAACTCATAAATTATCAATGAAATAATTTTTCCCGTATATTTTTCTACCTCTTTAATTATATATTGCAGGTTTGAATTTTTATGGTTTATATTCGTCATTTTCATTTTTTTGATTTTCATTTCTGTCAATCCTCTTCCAATGAACAGTAGCTACCGGGTCTAAAGCGTTATCATTCTCCATGTTCAATCAAGAGCTGAATATCTTCAAAGGGGAATTTCATCGAACATCTAATGTGCGTGATTGAACCAGCTTTGATTTCAAATCCAATACCTGAAAATAAGTATTGTATAATCAATCTACAATTATTTTTTTTTTCCAACCAAATTAAAATTTGAAAAAACTAATCTAATCTATTTTTTCTTAAAAACATTGATGTGCCACGTAGCCCTCTGCCATGTCATCTTTCAACTATGAGCATATTCTAATGAAAATCTCTATCATGAGATTTGAACTCACAACCTCAAAAATATGCATTAGAAGTCTTACCATCTCATCTATTGATTAATACTATTTTTATACTTGATTCATAAATATATATATATATATATATATACTTGATTCATAAATATATATATGGATTGGAGATCTAAACATTTAATGATTGCGATTTAAAAAAATCAATTCTATTATTTGCTAATAATGCTCATCGATGAGGTAATGCAAACAAGAAAAATTAACTGTTGTTATAGACTAATTTTAGTTATTTAATTATTTTGATAATAATTATGTCTTTATTTTCATTATATTAATTATAAATTATATACAAAAAACATGTTTATATAATTAGTAGTCAGTAGTTGTTCCATAAATATGAAAAACTATTATATAAATAAACAAATAATGAATAAATGGAATAATAAAAAATGAACCTATCTATTCAATTATAAGTGTTTAAAGTAACAATCTGGGGCATTACTCGGGCCACACACTAGTTATATTTATTCAATCATGTAAAGTTAAAAGCTTTTACTAACCTTTATTGAACTGTGTTTCACCTTACTTATATAATTTTCAGTAAAAAATAATTTGAGTTAGATAAAAATAAGTGAAGTTTATTAAAAATAAATTGGGTTCAATAAAAAAAATAAATTTTAATCAGTAAAAAAAAAGTGTGAAAATAGTATAGTGTACCCGGGTGCACACCCGGTAAAACTAAAAAAGGCGGAAAGAATATACTAATGTTTGAAAAAGAACATGTTTGTGTTTAACAAAGAACATAAAGTCCTTAAAAAAAAAAAAAAAACATGATTATATATTAAAGAAACATGTACTTTTCATGGTTACTCAGGTGGTTGAATTTAACATTTTTTTATGTAAATACATTAAAGAACATTTGATTTTTTTTTAAAGGGATACATTAAAGAACATATTGTATAATGTAAAGAACATGTAATTCAAACTCAAAGAACATAATGATCAAACTCAAAAACATATTATGCTCGCGTTTTTTATAAATGTGTATAATTTTTTTTTTTCCGCCTATATTCTTTAAAATATGCCTAATATTCTGGGTGCACCAACCACACGTTAATTCTACACAAATATAGTACTCCGCAGTAGAGGGTCAATGAAAATAAAATAATTTTCAGTCCAAAAAAAGTTAAGATCGAGAACTGAGCCAAACTAATTGAATATTACTATCAAACCTCAAAGTATTTGAAACCTGAAGGGGGACGGGGTACTTGCATCGTGCGGTTCACATCCAGTTATAAATAATTTATCGTAATTGCAGATTAATATTATTGTAACTTTGTTTGAAGATTTATTGGTCATTCATGTGACTTGTGTTATAGGTAGTATTGATCATACATATATTAGTGATTTAGTGTATTGATGTTACTTGGGTAATTCTGCATTTGCCACTGGTTATAAAGACGAGCAGATTAAAAAAAAAAAATAATCAACTATATGTTAACGGAACAAGGCTTGTATTCACAAAATTACAACTGATGAAACTCTGTTTAGTTTTCACATCTTTATCTATTTTCTCCTCCTTTTCTTGGCAACATCTTATGATAGAAGAAATATGAAGTGCAACATCTTATGATAGAAGAAATATGAAGTTAACTTCTTGGTTTCAGCTTTTGGTTCATCTAAGAGGAACTAGTATGTGATTCAACTATATGTATCTTCCTTTTAAGTTTTAACTAATAAGAAAAAACAAAAAAATTGTCAGAGTTCCTCACACTTTTCTCACTTTAGGCAGGTTTTTAGCCATTTTCAAAACCATATGTACACAAAATCATTCACTGCCCAAATTCATTCATTCCCCTAAGCTAAAAAATTTGTATCAAAAATCGATATCAGCACTTTTTGATGTTGGTCTGCCTTTGTGTCTAGAGTTTGTATACCGCGGAAAATTCAATGATGTGTCCACTAAACTTTCTCCTTCACCCCAATCCTCTGGAATGTCCTGAAACTTACCTTTGTTGTTGTCCCTAAGATCGAACCCCTCTTCAGCATCACTGCTAATGCTTCTGTATGTATGCTGAGATACTGAAGAATTAAGGTGGCTCAAGCTGTCAGGAGTAATGTGGCTAACTTCTGACATAGATTTTCCGGGGGATGGAGGCTTGAAAAATAAGCAAACCACCGCAATGTCATCAGTTCGCGAGGATGGGAACCTGCTCTTCCAGGCACGAACTGCATGTGTTGCTAGGAACTTTGCTGCATGGGATCGCTTCCTTGCTGCTGAGACTATTTTTACTACCTCAAAGTTTGTTAGCACATCCCACACCTGCAATATATTGTATCACCAAATTTATAACCTTAGTAACATACCACGTATGTAACAGTATATACTTCATGTTCATATAATTGTACATGTTGTTCATATAATTGCACTCCCCCGCGTTTCATAATGTTAGTCCCATATACTATTTTGGGCGTTTCAAAAAGATCTACCCATATTGAATATGTTTCATTTTTAACTTAATTATTTTGGAATTAATTGGTTGAGGATTGATGACATGACTCTAAGTAAGGAAATCTCTACCTTGAATTATGCAATTATGACTTATGCTTTCTAAAAAAAAATCAAAAAACTTAAATAAGGTAAACTAATTATGAATTGTTTTGTACTCTAATGTTAGATTCCAAATATTCTTCTTTTCTTATTTTATGTGATTAATTTCATATGAGACTAACATTATGAAATAGGGAGAATACTATCTTTGACCTGAAATAATAAGTCATATCTGATTTAGATGGTTAAAATTCAAAATCAAGGATATAAAATTATGGTTATTAGTTTACAATGTGAGATATCTTTGTAAAAGTCACAAATTTTATTGTTTTAGGTATAAATGAAGCTTATTAATTAGGCTAGATGTAACAAATTAAAGAACAAGGAGCTAAGCAATAAAAACATGTAAGGTATCTTACCCCATCAGTTGCAAGGACAATGAATTCATCCTGTTCAGTCAATTGGTGGTAGAAGACTTGAGGGGTAGAACTAAGACCATAATCTTTAAGACAGAAATCACCGAAAGCTCTTGTCATGGCAAGTCCAGGGCTATCTTCATCAGGCAGCCATAGTCTAAGAACATGAGACTCCTCTTCAAGAGAAAAAACTCGACCACTACAACTCCTCACCCTTTCGGCTTCCCTTGGAAGGCTTGGCTTCAAGTCTACCGTTAATTGGAGTGGTATCACTTGCCCTTTGTCCCCTCGTGTGCACATAACTGCACGCGAATCCCCCAAGTTTCCGATTATTAGATGATCTTCCTACAACAAGGGGAAAACTTGCATAGTTTTACTACATAAACATAATAAACTTATTGTTTCCATGATTATATTTTTACATTGCTTTTGTTTATTTAAAACAGATGTAAAAGTCATATAATAGTGCAAAATCAAACTAACTAATGTATGATCATTTTTTTTAACTAAACAATATCGATTAACGATAAAGTTTAACCAAGAAAATCAACCTGTTTGACAACCGTTACAGCCGTTGTACCACTACAATAGCTCTCAATCGTAGGGTCACGGCTAAGCTCTTTATCCACTTCTCTAAATGATCTCAAAAGGCCAGCCTTCCACAAATGAAGCACTGAATTAGGATCATAATTATCTCGGTCGTGGCGGCTATCAATAGTCTTTCCGGTGTTAGGATATGCTTGTAGCAATGCACCACCTTCATCCTCATAAAATGCGTCGATATCACTCATGCTATGGCCTTTCATTTGGAGAAGCTTATGAGCAGTGGAGAGCTTTATTGGTAGCTGATCGCGGACAATACGAGCTACCTTGTGACCACTCGGTCCATGCCCGTCGAACACCCCACAAAAGAACACATCTTTTTCACCAGCAAAGTCCTGAAACCACCATATTAATTAAAATTTAGCACATTACAATGTTAAATTATGCTAGTACAGAGCTGCCTAATGCTCCATTTTTTGTACTTTATATATTCACGTGACCCCTTTCACCATCTTTTATAATTTATACGTAAGATCAAACACGGTCATGATATGTTGTGATCTTGCTATAGGTGCTACATCCGTCTATTCCGTCTCCATGTACATACATAACCATACATGTTCATACTCATAAAGAATACCTTGATTTATAAATAGATTTTTTTTTTTTCTTTCAACTTATTTGCCATATGATATGTGGTGGTACTGCTGGAAGTAGGGGTGTACAAAAATTGGCCCGGACCTGAAACCGGACCTGAACCGACCTGAACCGGATCGGACCTGACCCGGACCTGTTGATTCAGGTCCGGTCCCGGTTCTTAAAAATCCAGGTTCCCGGTCCCGGTCCGGACCCGGTCCAAACCCGGGGTTTTCAGGTCCGGACCTGAAACCCGGGAAAATCGTAATTAAAAAAAAAAAAAAAAAAAAAAAAAAAGAAGAAAACCAAACTCTGAAAAATTGAAACTGAGTTTTCGTGGACTTATTTGTATTTTTGGTGGACTCATTTGTATTTTTGGTGTTTGAGAATCGGGACTTTATAGACTTTATGTAGTTTTGTAATTGATAATTTTGGTTTGTATGTAATTATTAAAAACAGGTCCATATGCAGGTCCAACAGGTTTTGTATTAAAAAAAAAAACGAAAAAGACACAAAACAGGTCCATTCAGGTCCAAACCCGGACCGGACCTGATTTTTCAGGTCTGGCCCGGAACCGGACCTGTTAATGCAGGTCCGGTCCCCGGT